TCCCTGGTAGAGGGCCCCACACGGTGCTGAGGGATAAAGCGAGTCCAGGGACTCCACTGGGAGAGGACCTGGGCGCTCCTGCCAGGCCTCCCAGTCCTGTCCCACGTGCCTTTCCCTTTGCAATTGTGCTGTGTCCTTTTTCTTAATAAATCACAGCTGTGAGGACTACTCTGCGCTAAATCCTCCTAGGACTCACCAAACGGAGGTGGTCGTGGGTGCCTGACGCCTCCTACGTGGGTCTCCTTAACCCTCCACCCAGGTGCACTGTGTGCGCCAAAGAGGTCAGAGTGACCCTTGTCACACAGATAATACACACAGATCATCCACCTTCCTGCTCAGAACTTCCGGGACTTTGCTCACTCAGGAAAAGCTGGAGCCCTTCCCTCTTTTCCTCCTTTCCCCTGCCACCTCCCTCACACTGCCCTCTCCCTGCTGACCCCTGACCCTGCCACACCCCGGGTCCCCTCTCCACTGCTGTGCAGAAGCCTGTTCCTCAGCCTCAAAGTGACCTCAGGAGTGTGCTTTCCCTGACCCTCCACACCTGGACCTTCCAGGGACCTCAGGTGCTCAGCAGCCAGCCTGACTGAGGTACGCTATGGAGCACGGGCTCCATCCAGTGGAGGGTCAGGGTGTGCCAGGCGATGAGAAGGCAAATCAGGGGCAGAGCTGACATGACAACCCTGCCAGGCCTGTGACGGGTCCCTCTGGCTGTGGGACATTCCCCTAGGACAAAAGCACATCTGGGCTGAGGACCAAGCCAGCCAAATGTAGGACTGTCCAGAAGGTCCCAGGGAGCTAGTCACCCGTCAGAGTTTTACTAGTACGTGGGCTTGGCGGCCACCTTTTCTGTGTAGGAGATTGATGTCCTGTGGAAGCCAGGAGGAAGGGAGCCCTCAGTCCTCTACCTGGCAGACTGGGGTGGAGGAACAGAGATGGGTGACCTGGGGGAGCCGGGGTACCTGTAGGAGAGGGAGAGGGAGTGTGGCCTCCAGCCACCTGGGCTGGCAGTTCTGGGTTAACTTGCATAAAAGAGAAACACCTGTAAGCAAAGGGCTCCCTAAACTAGGAAAGGGCTCCTCACGCTCCCTGGCTCAAGAAATGAGAAGCTCTATTTTCTATAAATTTTTATAAGTATATTCATGGCAGGTGGCCCCACAGCCCCCCTGGTGCTTCCACTCTTGTGTGGTGACTGGCTCCTAACCCGCACAATATGCAAAAGTGAGGACACAGGAGAGGAGGACAGCCCTCCCCCCGGGGCGCTTTGGCTGAGGGGGGGGGGGCGTCGCAGGTTGGGGGGGGAGCCAGAGGCTTGTGGAGAGCCTGTGTGAGGGGGAGCCTAGGCCACCTGCCCGGGGCCAGGTGAGTGAACCTGGAGGCAGCTCGCCCACTTTTCTGCCCACCAGGCCTTCAAGGAGACCACAGTCCACCAACAGCCGGAGGCAGCCCAGAGGCAAGCTTGTTCAGCCCAGTGTTGGGGTAATTTGTTACCATAACAAGTAATAACACACTAATATAGTTACTTCTGTGTTACTGGTTTGCTAATCAGTAATTTTCTCTGTAGCTTACTAACTGAAAACAGTCCCCTGTGATTTCCCAGTGCTCCACTCCCACCCCTTTCCCATGTCTGCCCCCTCCTGCTTTGGGCCTCTTGTAAGTAACAAGGTCCCATCCTCTATCGGGCTCTTGGTGCATCTTTAGCTTTAGAGGGTCCCGTGTCACCCTGACCCAGGTAAGAGGCTGTGAGCTGAGACTGCACCCACCCTGCCACCTCCCTCTGGTCACCCCAGACTCACCCGAGCAGTTTCTGGACGTTCCCGGTCAGTGTGGAGAAAGCCACACTCAGCTCCCTGAGCTGGGTCATCTGGCTGAGCTCCCAGGCGATGGAGGTGAGGAGGGGGTCCTCACCCTCGGTAGTTGGGGCGCAGGCAGGGGGCGTGTCAAAGGCCTTGGCAGGCAGGGTGAGTGAGACCAGCTGGGGGAAGTGCAGCTGGGCCAGCAGCTGCTGCACGTGGCCCGCGTGCAGCCGCACGTTGTGCACCACCTGCAGCCGGCGCAGCTCGCCAGGCCCCGCCAGACACAGCACCTGCAGGAGCTGGCTGGGGTCCAAGCTGTCCGCCCGGAAGGAGAGGCAGCGCAGGCGCAGTGGGGCGGGAGCTGCCGGCCCCAGGGCCTGCACCACCAACTGGAAGTTTCCATCCGTGACGAAGATATCAGCCAGGACCTTGACAGAATGCTGGGCGGCTTGGGGGTCCGCCTGCAGCTCGCAGCAGGTCCTCGCCAGCAGCTCTGTGCGGCCCCACCGGCCCAGCGGCCTCCCGCAGGGGCACTGTTGCACCTGCACATCTCGGACTCCCGTGAGGTCAGCCAACTGCAGCCGCCGCTGGCCCCTGCCCTGGAGCACGTGGTCCGCCAGGCCCCTCAGGCAGGCCTCCAGGCAGGCCCTGCAGGCCCGGTCTCGCAGGTCGCCTGCGTGGTCCGTGCTGGGCCCCAGCAGCGCGCCCAGCCGGAACTCCTCCAGTGGCCACCGCTGCAGCAGGGCGCGGATCACCTCCGCCCGCTCCAGCAAGTAGCTGGCTTTGAAGAGGAGTGGGTAGAGGTTGTGGGCCACGCTGTCCAGGTTCTGCAGGGCCACCTGGGGGTGGGACACCAGGGCCTCGGCAGAAGCAAAGCGCAGTGACTTCATCCTGCCCACCTGCGGTGGCAATGGCAGGACAGGGCTCTCCCCTTGTGATTCTCCCGAAGACACGTGTATGCCCGCCACTATTTTTAGCTGCAGCTGCTGGAAGCAGCTTGCCTTTGGGAGGGAGGTGGCCGGCCAGCCCTGTGTCATCTGATGGTTATTTTGGTCCTGGAAGCCTGTTTGGTTCTGGGCGAGGTGTCTGGGAGCAGCTGGCATATCTTCGTGGAGCTCGGCTGGTGAAAGCAGAGCTGAGTGCTTAGGTCAGGGAAGGTCTGGGCCCCAGAAAAGTGCCGCCTGTGCCCACTGCAGGGGTAGGTGGCCTGTGCTTGGGAGCCGCAGTAAGCTGGTCCCAGGGCAGTCTCCTGGTGGAGCACATCTGCCCCAGCTCTAACCCCGTCCACACATATAGGAGCACAGAACAAGGTCAGCCTTGGGCTAACAAACCTTTCACAGAACCTCTGGGGGCTGGAGTCCCCCCTGGCCTTACTTCTGGGAACAGGGACTGGTACCAAGGATGGGGGTAGGCACCTCTGACAACTGTTGTGCCAGCCCATAGGCATCGGCACTTTGCTTCGTCCCTTCTCTTCATTTATTCTCTCCGAGGATCCGGTGCAGCCTGTGGCCTCCCCACTTCCATGGGAGGGAGCCATGGTCTGAGTGAGCTGGGAGGACATGCAGACAGTCCCTGTGGGCCTGGCTGGCCGCCGCTGGGAGATGCAGGCTCAGCACCCTCCCTCCCCTCTGCAGTGTCCTCATCGCTGACCCCAGACCAGGGGTTCTCCACCTTCTGGCCCTTTAAATCCAGTTCCTCATGTTGTGACCCAACCATAAAATTACTTTCGTTGCTACTTCATAACTGGAATGTTGCTACTGTTATGAATCGTAATGTAAATATCTGATATGCAGGATGGTCTTAGGCGACCCCTGTGAAAGGGTCGTTCGACTGCCAAAGGGGTCGCGTCCCACAGGTTGAGAACCACTGCCCTAGCCTAGACCAAGGAGGCAGGCGCTGCTGCAGGTCGGGTGGGAGTCCCGGGAGCCATGCTGCCTCCCTACTGTGGAGTTCAACTCTCCACTCTGAAGGGTGGCAGAATACGATGTGCCAAATACGCCACGTTGGCATCAGGATTATTTTGAGCTAAAGGCACGTGAACAACAGCAGGTGCTAACCTCCCCCTTTCTTCCTAAAAGCAGGAGCTAAAGCTTCATGTGAGCCCGGCGGGTGTGGCCCAGTTGGTTGAACATCGTCCTGTGCACCAGGAGGTCGCTGGTTCAATTCCCATGCCTGGGTTGTGGGCTCGATCCCCAATAGGCGACGTACAGGAGGCAGCCGATCAATATTTCTCTCATTGATGTTTCTCTCTCTCCCTCTCCTTCCCTCTCTGAAATCAATAGAAACATATTTAAAAAAATAAAATAAAGCTGCATGTAAGTCACCCTTCCTGCACCAGGAGGGAGGGGTCAGGCCAGAGAATTTGAGCAAACAGACCTCACTAAGTAACTTGTCTTCCTTTACTTTCCACAGTTGCCTCTACTCAACTTGATAGAGAAATGCGTGGGCTTATCCCCGTTGGGTCTTCGCTTCCTGTGAGGGCTCCATGTCACCTAAAATTATGTTACATAAACCTGTTTGCTTTTCTCTTGTTAATCTGCCTTTTGTTACTAAAATGGGTGGAGAAATATTTCCTCCCTACAAAGCCTGGGCATTGATGGCTGTGAAATAATTATTAAATGGCTATCTCCCTCCTATCCCCCAACACACACACACACACACCGCCATCATTTGGGGCAGGGCTGGAGCGGTTAGCTCACAGGCCACGTGGACAAGCTCTGGGCTGGGAGGGTCACAGCTGGAACAGAGATACAGAGACAGACACACACAGAGAAAAAGGACAGGAAGAGAGAGCAAAAGAAGGAGGGGGAGAGGCAGAGGGCAGTGGGAGGAAAGGACCTGCTGAGGTGCGTGGCATGTGAGGGAGTGCGTGGGGGGTGTGGACGCTCCCTCAGGGTCCTGCAGGCAGCTGTCCCCTCGCAGCCTCCCTCAGGGGGCTGGGGGCTGGGGAGGCCTCAGCTCCCAGGGTGGAACCCACCACAGTCAGGCAGGTGAGGGGTGTGTGAGCAGTGGGACTTCACCTGACTTTACCAGAAGGTGATTGACGTGGATGTGGACCTCAGAGCGAGGTCCTGCTGTCCCGGCCACGTGCCCTCAGGTTGCAGGAGCTGGGCTTCCTGGTGACATAGGTGACATATGCAGATGTCCTTGGACACAACAGACCTTGTAGAAACACGCAGCCACATGGTAAAAACACATCCTATTTATTTCTGTACCTAAGTTTGGGACAAGTCAGCACTAAACATGTAACAAAACAGTCTCCACAGCTGGCAAATCACAGAGGCGTGGCCCCTGCCACCACCGCTCCTAGTCCTGGAGGTCCATGTGGTGGTGGTGGTGGTGGCTGGGGTGTGGGTGTGGGGTTGTGGGGGGTGAGATGTCTGCGGCAGGAAGCTCATTACGGGTCTGGAGTCTCCCAGGCTCTTCCTGCTTCTGATTCAACTCATCTGGTGAGGGTTGTCTTCTCGGGCAATGTCCACACCAACCGACTTCCAGCACTGGCTCCTCAGAGCTGCAGGCCCACCTGCTGTGCCCTGGCCCCACCCTGGCGCCTACCTGGGAAGCAGGGTGCAGCCTCCACCCAGCCTCCACAGGCTCCCCCTGTGACCCCTGAGCCTAACTCTAGTATCGCTCTGCTGACTAAGTACAACTTGTTACACAGGAAACAGACTGAGGATCCCATTATACTCACCCTGCATCTGGGACCCCACCTGGGGACCATCACCCACGGCCTGAATTGCCTGGAAGGTGGGGAGACACAGTCCCAGAGGGCTCACCCTCCTCTGAGGCCCACGTGTGTTTGGGCCTCCGCATGGGACAGGGGGTCTGTGTGCTCCGACCACAGTAAGAGAAGCTGGGCCGCATGGGGTGTCAGTGCTGGACGGAGGAGGAAGAACCATACAGGAAGGATGAAGCGGAGGCCTGGCCATGCACAGGCTGGGTGCGGGCGGGGGGTGCCATGATGGGAATGACGTAGGTCCCAAGGGGCATGTGACCGAGAATCCCGTGGCTGGGGGTCGTGTGTCAGGAGCGCCCAGCTTGTGTTTCATCCTCAGACCTCATGTACAGGTCCAGGCTGAGGTTCCTCTGCCTGGAGTAGCCACATCCCATCCAGGTCTCAGAGCTGTCAAAAGAATGACCCTGTTACCTCCCCTGGCCTCCTCCCACCGGCCTTGAGCCCCCAGGTCTGTAAGAGCACTGAGTCCTTGTCTATGAGGCTCTATGGGGGTCCTCACACCACAAAAGGCAATTGGGGCTCATGGACACAACTTTCTAAGAAGCACTTGGGGCCAGGCAAGGTCAAGGACAGGGCCCCATGAACGAGCCTGTGAGCTGACTTCTCTGTGGCAGGTGCAGCGCTGGTCTGAGCTGCAGGTCTGGGCCTGGATGGGAGTGGCTGCTGGGCAGCCCCCAGCTGGCATCACAGGGCGTCTGTGGGTGAAAGGGTTTTGGCCCTGAAATGTGTCCATCTGCGCTTGCCATTCTGATCCTGGAATGGGTGTGTGAGTTTGTGTGTCTCACCAGCAGCTGCTCATGTGAACTGAAATCACTTAGATGATTTCACATGTGTTTTGTGGAAGAGTCTATTTTAGAGGCACAAGGGATTCACATGGACTTGCAGACTTGTCAGTGGCTCTGGGACCTACACACACACACAGAAGGTGGTCAGTGCAGGGAAACTGTGGGAGGCGGTGGGGATGGCGGGAGGGGTGGGCAGGGGTTCTTCTCCGGAGTCTGAGAATGGAGCTCAGGCCAAGATGTCTCCTGCACTCCTTTGTGCCTCCCCCACTGCCCGCCCGGAACACCGAGGCCTGAGATCTTGGTGGAGGAAGTGGCTTCACACCCAAGGAATCTGCTGCCAAGTCCTCCTCCCACCCATGGCAGTGGTGCCCGTGCAGCACCTCGTGCCTGCTGCGACGTGGATTCGGTGTGTGCATGGAATTCCCGCACGGAGTATTGGGCAGAATGAGTGGCAGCCTTGTCTGAGGACAACTGCTGGCGAGGCACAGGGCACGGGTAGGTGGGAGGCCCCATTCTCAGGAGAGGGTGCCAGGTCCCCTTGAGCCACTGCTGACAGGGGGTGCTCTGGAGGACACCCTGGAGGCAGGGCGGGATGGGTAGTCTCCATGCCTTGGCTGGGCCTCTGGGGGAGACTATCTGCAGTAGGGGCTGAGGGCCTGGCCCTCCTGTTGGACAAAGGCCTGAGCTCTCCGAGCGGCCAATCCTGGCCTCTTGAGTCTGCAGGTCGCCAGGGGGTTTAGGCAGCCAGACAGAGGGTGGTCAGATGGGAAGATGGGGGAGCAGCCCTGTCTGGCCGGTGCGCCCTCTCGTGGTGCTGTCAATGTCGGCTGTGCGATCGCGATTTGGAAGCATCTGCAACAGGCAGAGACTGGGTCAGGCAGCCTGGGGGTGGCGGGGTGCCCGGCGCCTTAGGGAACACGGTGGGCGAGAGAACCCCTGGTCCGTGGGGGAAGCTGGGAAAATCGTTACTTACAGAGTGTTTTGCCTGCCACTCAAACCGCTGTCCAGACGCCGAAGACCTGAGGGGTGTTGTTCTGACAGAAAGGGATGGAAGTCACTACAGAACCAGCGTCACTGGGCCTCACCAATGATCTGGGGCCAGGGAACTCGTTCCCTCGACTCTCGGCTCAGCGCACCCTTAAAATCAGACCTTCCCTTCTGACGCTTCTGGGAGGCGGGCTGAGGGCCTCTCTCTAGCTCTGGGGATGTGCCTGCAGATGCATGGGGATGACGTGGGGTGGGCGAAGGCGCTGACCCCACAGGCCCAGCACGTCCTGTGAGAAGGCCTCTTTGCAAAGGTAACGTGTGTGCTGACTGGCCCCTCTCCTGGCCACGTCAGTCCCTCCCCTTGAGGAAGACGTCTGAGTGCACATCCCGGGCAATGTTCGGGGCCTCCTCCTACAACAGGCTGGGCCCCAGACACCCTCCCGAGATAAAAACTCACATTTGTATCAATTTGGGGAAACACTGATTTGCCAGGTATGTGATCCCTTCAGAAGGGCAGGACTGGGGGTCCTGTGAGTGTCCCAGGAGGGGCTGGACTCCAGGCAGAGCCCCTGCTGACCCTCCACCCTGCATCTTCCGATTTCAGCTTGCTCCTCGGCAGGCTGCTTGGAAACAGCTTCTGCTGACCATCAGCCCTCTTACACCTAGGACTGCGGGGATCTCGAGTGGGGGCACCATTGCATGGAACCAGTGAATGCCAAACGGTACAGGTCAGGCCTCCAGGTGGCCGGCCAAATCTCAGCAATGAGGAGGCCCTAAAACTACCCTGGCTAAGGGACTCCAAGTGTCCAAGAACTGAGCCAGGCCTTTGGTTTCTAGCCAGCCTGCCCAGCGTGCAGTGCTGGGTGCAGGCGGGGAGCAGATTCACGTGCATAATGACCCCTCGGGGTGGGGTCTGAGTGATCCTGGGCAGCCCAGCATCACTTGGGCAGGTGCTGACTGCGCCCTAAGCACCTGGGCCTCTCGTGTGGGGTCTCAGAAGAGGGGACACTTACGGTTGTGGTGAACTGGCCTCTGTCAAGCTTTGGCTGCAGGTCCCTCTGTGGAAGGGGGGGAGATGTGCTCTGGGGGCCTTTATCAGAGAACAGGGGCTGTGACAGCTCGGGTTGGCCAGGGCTGCTGTCCCCCGACTTGCACTGGGAAGACTCCAAGCTCTTGGAACCTGTGGAGAGGAGCGGAATTAGGGCGGGTCCATCAGGGTGAAGCTGCCCGGCCTCTTCTATGCTCAGGGGCCTCAGAGCCTGTCAATCAAAAGCTAGGTGTTTTCTGCTCCATGTGCGAGCTTCTAGCAGCGTGTGAGGCTGGGTCAGAGCAGGATGGCGTGGCAGGAAGGTAGATACCACCTATGCTCATGGACAAGTGTTTCCTGACCCACTTCTCTGAGCCAGTGTAGCTAATAGACCAGGGTGGGCGGCGCCCAGACAACCTCTCCACCAGTAAGTGGTCTCCAGCTCATGCTGGGGGCTCTGTGACCACTGGACATGCAAGTCAAAGGGGAAGCAGGAACTGAGACCAAAGAAGGCCCCAACCCTTAAACAAGGAGCCAGAACAGGACAAACAAGACCTGACACCCTTCCCTTTCCCTCTGTACCCACCGCCCACCCTGCCCCATCTCCCCTGCAGGACTGTAGGGCTGGCCTAGCTGAAGCCACTGGGTCCAGGCCCGGGGTTACTCCCCACAGCTGAGACGAGTGTTCTAGGCCACTGCCTGGGCAGTCTCAACCTCCTGCATGGGTGGCTGGTGGCTTTCCCCTGTAATTCTCTGCGGGATCATGAGTGCTGTTTGGGCACCGAGCTGAGGATGGCCAAGATGAGCCTTAACACAGGCCCTTCCACCTTGTCCTCACATCTGGGCTCCCCGGCCTCAGGCTCGGCCTTGACTGGAGGCTGCGCCAGCCCAGATGCGAGCTACCTGCAGTCCTGGAGCCAGAAGTATGAGTCCAGGAAGTGCAGTTGCTCTGAGCTGGCAATGCCACATGTCCCCATTGTACTCCGGGGGCCCAGCCTGCAGTGGCTGCTCTGGTTCTGATCAGGTGTGCAGCACCTGGCCACCTGTGCTCCCCGGCAGGGTTCACGCGCAATGCCTTCCATCGGGCACAGAGATGGCTTGGAGTCAGCTGCAGAGCCCTCAGGTGTTGTCCTGCTGGGCTTGGGAAGGCATTTGTCCCAGGCAGTGTGGTTGAGGATGGGCCCCATCTGGGCAGGAGGCCACACGCCAATAACCAACCATGGTGAATTCCAGACACACCCCTTCCTCCACGTGGAAGTTGTGCAAAATACTGCTTCATTGGGATGTAAGCAACACAAGAACGTGCACACCTCTAAAGTACAAACGGACATCTTTGGACATGTGTGTGCACTGTGAGGTTACATGTGTACACACCAGTCAGAGAGAACATGTGTGTCGCTCACCAAAAGCTGCTGGTGCCCATTATGTTCAGTGTGGTCACTGACACACTGAGCACGGGTCCGCCTCTGACCAGTCAGCCAGGCCGCTGTTCTTTGTTCCCTCTTCTTCTTTCTCTACATTCTTTGGACTTTTTTCTTACAGTTTCATTTTGTCTCCTTGGTTGGTGTTTCAGCTGTCTCTCTGCTTTACTTTAGTGGTTGTTTTGGGTTTTATAATCTAACAGATCACAATTTGCCTTCAAGTGATATCACTCAGTTCACAAACAGCACAGAACCCCACGTCCATGGACACTGTGCCCTTCCTCCTTCTCTCTGCCTCTCTGTGTTTCCACTGATGTGCCTTCAAATTCACTAACATTTTCTTCTGTTACCCCATCCGGGCTCATTTTCATCTCAAATATTGCAGTTTTTGCCCCTCTATGTCCTTTCTTGCTGTTTTCATATCTTCCATGTCATTAATTAACTTCTGAGACATCAAGAATGGCTATAACAATGGTTTGAGGGCCACCATGGATAATTCTAACGTCCATGTCAGCTTCGGCTGGTTTTCCTGGATTGGTTATTCTCATTACGGTTTATGTTTTCTACTTCTTTGCTTGCCTGTTGCTCTGATTGGATGTCATAGAATGTGAACTGACCTTGTTGGGTGCTGGATACTTTTGTGATTCTATAAATCTCCAGGAGCTTGGTCCTGGGATGTAGTGAGGTTACCTGGAAATGAGTCCTCTTGGGTCTTGCTTCATGATCTGGTGGGTGGATCGGGGGCAGAGGTCAGTCGAATGCTCCCTCCTCCTTGAGATAGGCCCTTCCAACGGCTCGCCCAGCACCCTGCGAACCACATGTGTCCCGTCCAGCTGGTGGGATAGGCACCCATGTGACTGTGGAAAGTGCTCTCTCGGCCTGTCAGAGGTTCCCCAGCTCTGGGGGTTCTCACGTGCTGTGCTGACCACGTGATTTGGATTTTGGAGGGGAACCATCTGTCAGGCTCCCAAGGCCTCTTGCTGCACAGGCCTCACCTACCCCGTCCTGCAAACCCCGCCACCTTGGTCTCCTCCACGCGGGGAGTCTGTGCACCATGTCCGGGGACACTCAAGGCGGAAACCAGGGCAGCCGCAGGGCTCACCTCATCTTTCTGCCTCTCAGGGTCACTGCTCTTTGTTGTCAGATGTTCTGTGTTTTGAAATCTCTCATTCCATACACTTCTCCTGGTTTGGTTTTGTCTGTCTGTGTGGTTTTTTTAAAATTTGTTTTAAACGGTTACTTCATTTTGGGTGGAAGTGAAAGGTTGGTTTATTTAAAGTAAAAGAAACATGCTAATTTGTTTGAAAACGGTGGAAGTGTATAAGATCAAGCGAAGCAAATGAACACATACACCGGCCCCGAACCACATCAGCCGTCAGAGGCTGGAGCACAGGCGGCCACAGCGCACAGTGCACTCACGTAGCGCAGGCTGGCTCCCCGTCTCCTGCTCCGGCTCGTCCTCCTCGATGCAGGCGTGGACGTCGTGCGGCCAGGGCCAGTGGGCGTGGCTGGTGGACACGTGCAGGGCGGCAGAGGACTGGCTGCTGGAGGAGGAGGTGCTGCTGTCTGAGATGGTGGAGTGCGGTCTCTTGAAGGGGGTGGGGTGGCTACGGGCGGGCACAGCTGTGGATGCGTGAGCTCTTGACTCTGGAAGGAGACAGAAAGCAAGTCGTCGGCCCCTGCTGCAGAAGTGCAGCCTGGACGCCAGAGCCAGACGGGGCCCTCAGGAAGGCTGGCCAGGTTCTCTGCCTACAGCAGCCGCCCTGCTAAGTGCTGCCCTGGCGCTCTGGGGCCTGGGTTCCAGCTGGCAGGGCAGAGTGCGGGAGGGCTGGGGCCGCCTTACCTGTTCCATTCATGTTGTACTCGGCAGCTTGATCACTTAGGGCTGCATCGCTGGGCTTGATGTCCAGGAACGGTGTGCTGCCCAGCCCCATTGACACTATTTCTTGCATTCTGAGTTCTGAAATAGAAGAATGTAGGACACTTTTCCAAGCAACTCCTTGGGTTTAATACCACCCTCGATGGTGTTCTGCACCCAACACCCTCAGTTCAGACCTGGCTCCCCAGAGTGATGATGGGGGGCCAAGCGACCTCACAGTGGCCTCTCCCAGAGAATATGGGGTGACAGAGGCCTCCAGGAGGCACATGGCCACAAGAAGGACACACTGACAGATATCTGTGTGTCTCTGAATACTGAGAGGAGACCTAAGCATAGGGTGAGAATCTAATAATGAATTACTTCTTGGTAAAACTAAAAAAGAAAAGAAAAGAAAGGAAACAATTATAGTTGGTGGGAGGATGTAGAGGAAAGGGCAGGAGCAGAGGAGCCTGGGGAGGGGATGGGAGCCCAGCTATGGGCCTTCCACTCCTTGTAAGGGCTGGGTCCACTCCAAGGGATCAAGGAGCCACCAGGCACCCTGAGCAGAGCTGCCTTGTGCAGCGTGAGCACATGCACATGTGCATGCATGTGGGTGCACACACATGGGGGGGTACATGCTTGTGCGTACATGTGTGTACATGTGCGCAGGGGTGGTCTATGCTTCAAAGGAGATGGCAGTGGGGGGCTTTGGGGCATCTCCATGATAGGTTAAGGCTCTGGGCATGGGACAGCTACTGAGGGGACAGGTGGCTGTGTTAGCCATTTGGACGTTAGAGCCTGTAGTGTTCCTCAGGCCCTGCAGAGTCCAAGCTGCCACAGGAAGGCCAGGTTAAGGGGTCGCTAAGAAAATGGCATTTATAGTGGCCAGACTGGATGGATGGCTACTTGTGAGTGTAGACAGAGGTGTCTCAGTGACGGAATCGGTGCAGAAGAGGGAACAAAGGGGTGAATTGAGAAGGAAGAAACCTGGTGGGGATCCCAGTGAAAGGAAAAGGTAACTTATTGAGGAGGGGCCCTCATGGGCAGGGAGACCACAGGCTGACCATCAGCCCAGGACCCGGTCAGTCAGGAGCCTTGACAAGCCGGGCAGGGCAGACAGCTGACCTCCATGGCCTGAGGGGTCGGGGAGCCTATGAGGTACTGCAATGCAGGGTATTGTTTATATTTGTTTTAAGGAGAAATAAGTGTTGTGTGCTGATGGGATGGGTCCGGGCCCTTCCTGGTAAATGGTGCTGCCTGAGGCCTCCCGCGGCCCCCCCCCCCCCCCCCCGACACACACCCTTCGAGCCCCCTCGCCCACCTCTGTTCCTCAGAACCTGCCGCCACAGGATCTTCCCTATCACATCGGTCCACATGGCCTTGACCTCTGGAGAGCTCGCCTGGAGGATGTAGGAGTCCTGGGATTTCCGCCGCCTGCGGAACCAGATCTCAAATTTCACACCACTGTCCCCGACGGTCTCTGTCAAGCCGATTTCAGCCATCTGCAGTCACAGCGTGGGAGTGAACCTCAGAGATGCCCTCGGAACAACGGACCCCTTTCGGGCTGACCCTTGACTCCAAGGCCCCTTCAGTGCTGTAGGCCCCTTCACCAGGACACCAAATGGTGTGGACGAGGCCGGTTGGGGGGCAGCTCTGGACAGGACCGATCAAGTTTTCACCCCATCCATTCTGGGCTCCCTCTTGGGGCCTCAGTTTCCCCACTGGAGAAATGGGGACAATACTGGAAGGTCTGTGGTGCCCTCTGGCTGTCACACACTGGGTGGGGTCTCACACCATCACACTCTGACATGTTCCTCAGTGCTGGCAGGTAAGGGATTATGGGTTTGGGCTCCTCCCCGGAGCCCCCAAAGCTCTTTACTCTCAGGGCCTCCTGTAGGGGCAGGAGGGCCACCCTGAGACCCACCAAGGGGAGGGCTTCTCTGGTGTTTGCTTTTATCAAAATCCAAAATGAAGTGACTGAGGAGACACTGTTCTCCAGCCACTGACCCAGCACCCAGAAAGCCTGGAAGCTTTGGGAGTCACAGGTTTTCAAAACCCAAAGAACCATAGGAAAGAACATGTACTATGAAGACCAGCAGGGACCAGCCCAACGCCAGTGGCATGAGGCACAAGGCGGGCACATTACCTTGAAGGACTGCTTGTATGTGTAGATGTCGTAGCTTCCGTCCACCTTCCTGGTCTTGCTGAACAAGATGAGATCTTCGAAAAGGAAGACATGCCTCAGGTACTTCTTTCTTCCACAGTAAACGATGAACTCATCCCGGCATCTCAGTTGCCCCTGCTCCTTCAAATTCACCTGCGGACAGAGCAAGCAAGGCTCCCTCAGGGACCCTGGGTTTGATCTGAGGCCACCCTGACCTCTGGAGGCGGGTGGGGGGCGGGGAGGGGGGGCAGCTGAAGGCCAATCATCCAATCAGTCACACCGATGTAACAAGGCCTCCACAAAATCCCATGAGGACGGTTGCAGAGCTTCCTGTTGGTGAGCACATGAAGGTAGGCGATGCTCTACACCCTTTTCCCATGCCTTGCCCTGTGCATCTCTTCCGTCTCACCGTTCCTGAAATGTACCCTGTATAATAAACCGGTGATCCAGGAAGGGAGCTATTTCCCTGAGTTCTCAGAGCTACTCCAGCAAATTAATGGAACCCAGGAGGGGGTTGTGGGAACCTCCCGTCTACAGCTGGTTGGTCAGAAGAACAGGTGACAGCCTGGACTTGCGATTGATCAGCATCTGAAGTGGGAAGGAGTCTCCTGGACTGAGCCTGTAGGATCTATGTCATCGAAGGGTAGGTGGTTTCAGAAGTGAGTGGAATTACAGGACACCCAGCTGATTCCAAGAACTGCTTGGATGTGTGGGAAAAACCCCACATTGGAACTGGGTGCAGAACCCTCCCGGTGGGGTCCCCTCGTGCCCACATTCATGTTCATCTGTGTGGATGTTACAATACAAGCCTCTGCCTTCAATTTTACTAAACTTTCCACTTCAAAGCCCTTTTCTTCATTAAAAAAAAATGTTTTCACTGATGTTAGAGACAGAGAGGGAGGGAGAGGGAGAGAAATATTGATGTGAGAGAGAACCATCAATTGGCTGCCTCCTGCATGCCTGCTACTGGTTGCTGAGCCGTCAACCGGGGCATGTGCCCTAACCGGGAATTGAACCACCAACCTCTTGATGCATGCATCGGCTCAACCAACTGAGCCACACTGGCCAGGGCAGCCCTTTTGTTAATTTTAACGGAAACCCCCTTGTTGAAGTGCTGGAATCTCACTCACTGTGTATAAATGCCCAACGTGGTGGCCCCAGGAGTTACCTCACCTGAGCTGTTCCACACCATGGACATCCCTCTGAGCTGATACTTGGGGGTGTACCTGCTGTGCCCCAGCCAGGCTAGTGCTCTTTGTGGACGGATCCCAATGACAGACAACCTAGCATTGTCTCTCCTATGACTTTCCCTCTGTGTATGGCCCTGTCCTGGGTGAAGCCTGAGGATGCTGCGTGGATCCCAGTCATCCCAATTGCTCAGCCAAGTGGACTGGGAGAGTTTGAGGGGCTGTGGGTTCTTGGTGATGATCCCATGGTTTGTTGCTCTGTTGTCCTCTTGAAACTCTTGTAAAAAATGTATCTTGCTTTCCCTAGCCAGTTTGGCTCAATGGATAGAGTGTCGGCCTGCAGACTGAAGGGTCCTGGGTTCGATTCTGGTTAAGGGCACATGCCCGGGGTTGCAGGCTGGATCCCCAGTGTGGGGCATGCAGGAGGCAGCTAATCAATGATTCTCTCTCATCATTGATGTTTCTATCTCCCTCTTCCTCTCCCTTCCTCTCTGAAATCAATAAAAAAATAAATTTATCTTTCTTGTTGAAAGTATTACAGATGTCCCCTCCCCCCTCTCATTGGCCCTTACTCCCCAATCCCACCCTCTTCCCAGGCCTTCACCGCACTATTGTGTGTGTCCACAGGTTAGAATGCTGCTCTTAGCAAGGTGCCCGCATTTTCACTGTGATCTGGAAATTCTACAGCCATCCATCTGACAACCAGAGACAAGGAATCCTGCCTAATCGGGAGTCTCCCTTTCCTGCCCATGTGGTCCTGCCATGCTAAGGTGTGGGGGATGTGGACGCCAGGCCTCGGCCCCCTAGTAGAGACCAGCCTATACATGGCCAGGCCAGGCCTCAAGCCCAATGGCCCAACTCAACTTTCATGCATCCAGTTGTTTTCAAATAGCCCTGGTACCTACAACTGTGTAGCATTCGGAGCCCACCCGATCTCACATCCTACTGCTGCTGCTCCAAAACTGGACACTGAGCTCCTCTCTGCTCCCCTCTCCCCCTTGGGTGGGGGCCTCTAGGGGGTCTAAGCTTTGGGAACATCCCTAAAGAGAAGTTCTGTGCTCCTGACCCCAGGCACGTCCTTCCCCTTGATCGAACCAAAGCCCTGAACCACGAGAGCCTGTTGGGGCCTCGGGGAACTTACGTGGCAGCGGCGAACAGCATCCAGGGCCAGCAGATCGTTGCCGTGGCGCAGCTGGAAGCGAACCATGTCCTCGGCGGCCTTCAGCTCCGCCAGCTCCTGCTCGTGGGTGGGGCAGCGCCCGGCTTCCTTGACCAGGTCCTGCAACAGCAGGGCGTACTTGCCCATGCGCTGCACGGGCTTCAGCAGGTAGGAGGCCAGGTCCATCTTGTCGCCCAGTGCCTGCTGCTTGTCCTGCAAGGGCCGGGGGACAGGGTCAGTTTGGGCCAGGCCAGGGGTGGTGCAGCAGGCTGGCGGGCTGAGGGATGACCTTGAAGAAGGTGAGACCGTGGCTGCAGAGCAGGGCATCCGACTGGGGCTTGTTCTTGCTGTAGAGCGCGTACATACCAAACTGTTCTTCCTGCAAAAGGGAGGGCACGATGCACCTGAGTGGGGGCTCCAGCCAGAGCCTGGGCCGCGGCCCCAGCCTGCAGCACAGTTTTCAACACGATCATGAGAAAAGGGTCATGAGAAAAGGACACGGTGTTCCATTAGGGCCACCTCGGCTCCCCCTGCATGTTGAGTGCTCTGGGGTGCAATGCCAGAGTCCTGGATGGGTCTTAATACAGTGTTTGGGGGAAGAGGCAGGAACACTCACAGGCGGGCAGGGGAGGAGCATGGGAGTGCTGAAATTTATCAGAATGCAAAATGAAGTGACTGAGGCTGTCTCAGTGACCATTTTTATTAATGGTCAAGAACCAAAGTTGTCCAAACATTTAAAATTCTTACAAATACGAAACACTAGAGGCCCGGTGCACAAAATTCATGTGGGGGGGGGGGTCTCCTCAGCCGAGCCTATACCCTCTCCAATCCGGGACCTCTCGGGTGATGTCCCTCTCTCAATCCTGGACCGCTGGCTCCTAACTGCTTGCCTGCCTGCCTGGTCACCCCTAACTGCCCTCCCCCTGCTGCCCTGGTTGCTCCTCACTGCCTCTGTGTGCCGGCCTGATCACCCCTGCCTCCCGTTGCTGGTCAGGTTGCCCCCAACTGTCCCCCCTGCTGACCTGGTCACCCCACATGGCCCCCACACCAGCCTGGTTGCCCCACGCAGCTTGCTGTTCAGTCATTTGGTCGTCCCTCACTAACTCCCTGCCGGCCTGGTCGCCCCACGCAGCTTGCTGTTCAGTCGTTTGGCCATCTCTCACTAACCCCCTGCCAGCCTGGTTGTAGGCAGCCATCTTGTGAGGGCGTGAGGGTTAATTTGCATATCACCTCTTTATTATACAGGATTATACAAGTTGCACCTTATGGCTAAAAGTGCCCTTTCAAAAATAGCTGAAAAGGCACAATGTGGACTTTCTGTCATCCATGGAGTTTCTGGTGGTCACTTGTATTTAACACCACCGAGGCAAACGTGTCCTCGCCCACAGCCCAGCCCAGTGCCTACAGCTGTGCCTCGTAGCTACTCGTTGAAAGAATCTTCTTTTCAGGGTGAATTAAGAATTTTATCAGAGACCCCAACAGGGAGCTATTCCATATTCATGGCTGAGAAGAGACTTAGCAAAGAAGGGCAGCTCCCTGCAGGTGGTCTGTGCACCCCGACCAGGTGCTCTCAGAACTCAGGCTGGTCCTGGGGCCCGTCTGGAGGGGAGCTGGCTAGGCCCCAGGCAGGAGGGTGTGAAGGGACCATGGGCTTCACCGTGCAGGAAGCAAACTGATTTTGGGAGTTCTTTTTGGCTGATTCGGTGAGGAAGTAGGGCTGTCAATAGAATTAAGTGGCCGATGTGGATGAAGCCCCCAGCACCCTGTGGCTTTCAACAAGGGTGCTGCCAGGAGACGTGGGAGTACCATGTCTGTGCTGTTGGACGTACAGGCTTATTGTCTGCTCTGGGGACACATGTCCTAAGCCTGGACTGCGGGCTCCCGATGGGCTGGAATGAGGGTGGGCTCTCCAGACCCTGCTGCTCCGAGGGCGAGCACTGGCTGCCCACCACAGGGGGGGACTTACGTGTCTCAGAAACCCGCGCCCGGCGGCCAAGGGGCAGTGCCGGCAGCGCTCCAGCTCTGTGAGGAAGTGCTGTTGGTGGAAGTTGTAGAGCTTCTCCAAGTTCCCAAAAATGATGCTGCGCTTCCCTCGCAGGTCCGGCGGCAGGTCCACTCTTTCCATCTCTGGAAAATAGTTGTCGACGACATATCCTAAGGACCTAACATACTCCCTCTCCGTGGAGATCATCTCGGCCATTATGTGCTGCAGGCGGCTGCTGGAAGACACAGAGCAGGTGGGGTGCTGAGGGATGCACATGGGTGCACGGATGGGAGACGCATGGCTCAGCATCTTTCTGGATAAGATTTCTGTCTTCGGCTGTGAGTAAGGTCAAGCCTGCCCCACACCCGAGTCATGCTTTGCCGGAAGCCAATTCCAGCATGTCAGCAGGGCTGAATCATCTGGAAATGGCTGAGGGCATTTCCCTAAACCTGAAAAGGATGCATAATGATTGCTTGCTGCCAGACAGCTGAGGGCATTTCAATCTACATGTTATTGCCTCCTACTGGTCAACACCTGAACAGCTGTAGGCAGTTTCTCCCAAATCTGACAATGGATTCTGTATACTAAACCCTGGCCTTTGAGACGTATATCTACCTTGCTTTAGGACAATTTGTGTTAATAAAAAGCAAGGGGTCCAGAGAGACAGCAGAACTTGGGTTCTTTAGCTAAGGCGTCTCTGGCTCCCCAAAATGCCTTCCAAAATTATGTTTCGTCTCTGGATTCTTTATTAATTTACACACAGCGCCTTCTCCAGATTCCTGAACCCCTTCTAGATGCTGGATCAAGACCCCTGGCATTAATGCTTGGTTCCTGGGAGCTGCTTCCCTGATGTAGAGTGAGAAAAGGTAAGAGGTACAGGGGAGAGGTGTGTATTCCCATGTTACTGGTCATGGCCTTTCCAAATGAAAATCCTTTAGGAAACGGAAAAGGGGAGACTCGTAGGCTCCCTGACTGAGTCCTGCGGGTTCTCATTCCCAGACAGCCTGGTGAGCGCCTGCTTGGGGGTGGTGGGGTGGCTCCAGCAATAAGAAGACTTGACCCTCAGCAGCGAGCCCTGTGCAAGGAAGGCTGAGCTGGAGATCAGTGAGAAAACGAGTTTCTGATGCACCCCGACTGCTAAGCTATCAGAAGAGATTTCTGAAAAACAAAACAGCTTTAAACTGCAGTGACGTCCCACCCAGGGGCTGAGGAGAAGCAACTGGACACCACGCAGGGCCTGGGGCCCAGGACAGCAAGGAGACAAAGCCGAGGAAGGGCTCCTGGCGCTCCTTCGATGTGGCGAACTAGCACTTACGTGCCACCCATCAACTGCACCAAAGGTACTTCATCAGGGAAACCAGAAGGGGTCTGTGGTGGCCTGGCCCCACCCCCTAATAGCAAGGCACGTGCTTTCTCCCTACTTGATAGCATGCTATTGTCAACTTCCTTAAATTACTTAATCCCACCCTAACCGGTTTGGCTCAGTGGATAGAGCGTGGGCCTGCGGACTGAAAGGTCCCAGGTTCCATTCTGGTCAAGGGCATGTACCTTGGTTGCAGGCACATCCCCAGTAGGGGGTGTGAAGGAGGCAGCTGGTCGATGTTTCGCTCTCATCGATGTTTCTAACTCTCTCCCTTCCTCTCCCTTCCTCTCTGTAAAAAATCAATAAAATATATTTAAAAAAATGTAAAAAATTACTTAATCCCAATGACACTAATGGCAAATGGCAAGCTTTTTTGTTGTTGTTTTTGCCTGCTTTACTTTTTTTTTTTTTAATTAAGAAAAATGTTAAAAGCAAATAATGATGTCAATACACCTGTGGTCAGAAATGTTCCTGACTGATCCCGTTTATGAGCCTTCCCTGTCCCCACCGCACATACCAGAATTTATAAACACTTATTGTTCCTAAGAAGGCAGCACATCTGGCCAGCCGGGGCACCTGCTGCCGGGCAGCCTGGACGTGCCCCTGGTGCACAGCACAGGCCTCGGAGAATCACCTCCTGCCAACACTCACAGAAAACAAGTGTTCTCCTTAAATGCTCAGACACAAAATTAAAGGGAGAGTAGTCTGGATAGCTGGACCAAATTAAATGGAAACAGACTCATGAGGCCGTAATAGCTAGAAATTTCTGGGGAAATGATGCTGATCAGGTGACAGGAGCTCCCCCTGGACACCTAGCAGGTCTGGGTCTTCAGGAAAGATGAGTTTGGTTTAATCATCACCCCCAACCCCCGGGCCCTGGCATTTGAGAAGGACTTGCTCCCTCTCTGGGTATAGCGTGGACTCCTCGCTACTAGACCCCGGGGTGGTAGTCTGTGGCCTATGAATGGTGGGAGAGGAGACCTGTCCCCAGCGGCAAAGGCAGGATGGCTTTCCAAACCTGCTGCCTTCCCCACCCAGGATGTCCATTCTGGGTGACCAGGGGCAGCTCTTGTGAGTGGACGGCTCCGCCCCTTTGTTCTGCTGCCCTGGAACTTTCTACATGAGCACAGTGGAACTGGAAGGCCATCCACAAACCCGCGTTACCCACTGCCACCTTCCCATGGAGTCCAGCCACAGGGAACACCCCTGCACTGCTCCTGCCCCTGTAAGAATGAGCCCTTTCCCTTTAACAGGCACACTGTAACTGCCCTAGGTTTAGAAACTTAAAGGTATGCTTCAGAAGAGTATTTTGTAACCATCTCAGTTCAGATGAAAGCTGCTTTGCATGAGGAGGAAACACAGGACAAACCAGCCAATAAACTGGGATGCCCCGCCTCCAGGCTGCAAGGCTCGCTGGGAAAGAGGAGGCAGCACAGCGGTGCTGTGCACCAGGCCAGCGTCACTGTCAGGCATGGTGGGGGGTGGGGGGTGGGGGGCGGTGAGGGGCGCGGAATTCCTGCCATTTTATCTAAACAGTTAATAAAAAGCATCATTTTACAAAACACATCTCAAAGATTAACAAGTTAAAATGGACATCTATCTTCATCTATCTTTGGGCAATACATATACAAGTACATACTTCTGACCAGGGCGCTTAGAGGCTTTTTAAAAAGCAATTTTTAAGGTAATTTCTTGGTATTGTGGGCTTGATTTGCTCATTGTAATTTTCTATAAATGGGCTCCGAGTAACTAGACTTCATTGTTTAACCATCAAAGTGGGTGTGCCAGGTCACCACATGCTGTGAAAAAGAAGGCATTTTCAACGATTCTGTTCTGAACACTGGAGGTAGTCAACATCTTGCTTAAGGTCAAACACGAGTCTGTCTGGCCTGGACAGGTCAGAGTAGCCTGGAGGGACATCAATTTTGCAGAGCAAATGTAATGGCTTTGCATTTCTACATCCCCACTGACCACTAGGCCCTAAGTCTGTAGAGCGTCCACCTCACCTTCCTGCTGGCCTCCTCCTGTCCTCTTCGGAGGCGTGGATCCTGGAGGGAGAGGACAGGCTCCAGTTCCGAGTGACCAGGGGGCTTTTGGCATGTGGCCTCAGGGGGGGCTTCTTCTCTGAGGCCACCGTGCTGGCCACCTCCAGGCCTTTGATGAAGCCTCCAGTGTGGGCTGGCCAGTGGGAGTCCCTGGGGCTACTGTCAAGCTGTGTCATCGCCGAGGTGAGTGTTTTCTTCATTATCTTCTTCAGGGGCTGTTTCCTGTGGTGGATGATGGGCATCTGGATGGGCTCAGAGGAGCAGGTGGAACTGTCGTCTGGGGTGTGTACACCTGAGTCCAAGTGCTCACCGTCCTGCCCGCAGAAAGTGACCTGTCCGGGGAGGCTGGACAGCAGTTGTGCCCGCTCCCCAGCGTAGCCCTGAGGGTCCATGAGGGGGGTCCAGGATGGCTCGCGGAGCCTCATCTCGGCCCCTTGGATGAGCTCATGCTTCAAGGGCCCCTGGTCTGGAGGGGGGGCACCGGGGCCCAGGGCAGCCTCAAAAAGGGCTTCTTGGGAGCAGAGGTGCATCTGCTGGCACTGTAGCCACAAGGCGTGCCACTGCTGCAGCGCCTGCTGGCTGCCCAGGCCCAGCACCGCCACGCTTGCCGACACCCCCCTGGCATCCTGGGGACAGCTCTTCAGACACTCGGCCACCAGCTCTGGGCCCAGAGGTTGCAGGCACTCACCGCCGTGCAGCATCCCCCTGTTCACCTGTGCAGCAAAGGGGGGTGCAGTCAGTGCAGTGACGGGCTCGCACAGCCCAATGGCTCTGCAGGCCCCACCCAATGTTGTTCTGCCATCCAGGCACCCACATCGCGGAGCAGGGTGAGCCAGGCAGCCAGAGTGAGAGGAACATCCCTCTGCCCATGGGGGCAGCTGCCATCTGGACTCACCCAGAGGGCTCACACAAGTCCTCCACAGCCCCCAGGGCACCGTGACGGTGTCCCAGGACCAGGGGATGTCTGCGAAATCAGCTATTCCACATCTCCGCCTGGTGCGGGGGCCCCAAGAGGCACGGCAGCAGGCAGAGATCGCCTGCCTCTGCCCTGCCCTGTGCTGGCCTCCCATGACCCCTTGGATTCTGTCAAGAGGGGCGGTGCTCCTGAGGGCTGTAGCCCCAGGGTCCCCAGTGGCCAGGCAATTCTAGGGTGCTGTGAGGTCACAGCCGTGTGCTGTATTGTGGCGATTATTTTGGGAACCTTGGCAGTAAGTGGACTTTTATAACTGAGCTGGTAAACAAGCAGAAAAGTCCACATGCCCATTTGGCCCATGTGTTCAGAACAATGAATGAACTCTTCACAGGTCTCCTGAGAACCAGGGGCATGGTCTGACAGGAGTGCTGGCCAGCTGTCCCAGCGCCCCGCCCACCCAGACCAGCAGGGGACAGCACTCACTAAATGTCCGAGGAGTAAAGGAGGAGGGCAGCACACGTGGGTCTCGGAGTGGAACTCCGCTGGGTCTCTTACCGCTAAGCAGAACTGGGAGTGGCGGGCCCGCTGGGCCAGCTCTCCCTCCGTCCGCTCCTGGCCGGCTGTGGCGCTCAGATACCCCCCGGCGTCCTGCACCGTGTCCTCTGTGCCCCTTGAATTGTTCTCTTCCTTCAGCTGTCGTCCTTCCTGACGGCACTGCTGGAGCCCAAGGAATCAACCATCAGCACAAGCTGGGCACTTACTCTGGGGTCCTGGAGCGAGGGCTGGGCTGCACCCACCGTCGGCCTGGGGTGCCTGGCCCGCAGCTCTGGCTGCAGCAGCTTCACGTTCTCAACAGGGAGCAGCTCCAAAGGGCTCGGCCACGTCTCGTGCTCTCTTTCAAACCATGCTTTGATCTACGTGGGAAAAGAAGATTTTACTTTCACACGTGTGAAGGAGTCCGGCTCTGAGACTGTGGAGGAAGGAGGCGTCAGGTGCCACCCCGGGGGCTGGCCCGCGCGTTCCGACACTCCTTCTCCTGATGCACACACGGCATCTCACTCGAACACGTGAGTAGCTACATCACAGTGAGGGCCACAGTGAAGGCTCCAGTTTACAACTATTTTCATTGCTTGGAACTGGAAACTGAGATCACTGAAAAATAGATCCAGAACTCTCAAGTGTTGATACTTCTTACTACGCTAAACATACCCAGGAAATAGTCTTCAGGCTGGTGGTGCTTGGACACCGGGGGCTGCCTGGGAGTGACAGAGGGGCCGGCGGCAGCCCTGCCTGCACCTGACAGTGTGATGAGGTCCAGGTTTTCATTTTAGAGACAAATTTCATGGCACTATCTCGTGGTTCAGACTGAACATGTCAGAGGGAAATGCTTCTTCCTCATTCACAGTTCTCACTGGAGAGCAATGCCAGGGACCCCTGGCTGTTAGGTGCCCAAGAAGAGAGGTCTGTTATTAAAAACAGTGGGATCAGGCTGCACCATGACCACAAGGATTGGATTCAGTGCTCCCAGCTGTACAGGCAGAGGAGAGAGATCATTGGACATTCTTTGTGGGGAGAGTCATGGAGAAAAATATCAAGACAAGAATTCTATTTTATTATTTGTTAATTTTTAACATCTTTATTGTTGAAAGTATTACATATGTCCCCTTCCTTGCCCCCTCCCCCATTGATCCCCTCCACCCTATCCCCACCTCTCACCCCAGGCCCTCACCTCCCCACTGTCTGTGTCCATAGGTTATGCATGTATTCATACAAGTTCTTTGGTTGATTACCTCCCTCCCACCTACCCTCCTAGATTCTGCATTCTGTTCCATGCTTCCATGTTTCTGGATTCACTCGGTTCATCAGTTTATTTTGTTACTTAGATGCCACATATGAGTGAGATCATGTGATACTTGTCTTTCTCTGACTGACTTATTTCACTTAGCATGATACTCTCCAGGTCCCTCCACGCTGTCACAAAGGGTAAGAGATTCTTCTTTTTTACTGCTGCATAGTATTCCATGGTATAAATATACCACAGCTTTTTTCCCCTGACTCATCTACTGATGGACAGTTGGGCTGTTTCCAGATCTTAGCTGCTGTAAATTATACTGCTATGAACATAGGGGTACATATATTCTTTCTGATCGGTGTTTTCAGGTTTCTTAGGATATATTCCTAGAAGTGGGATCACAGGGTCAAATGGCAGTTCCATATTTAGTTTTTTGAGGAAACTCCATACTGTTTTCCATAATGGCTGCATCAGTCTGCATTCCCACCACAGTGTACTTTTCTCCACATCCTTGCCAACACTTGTCCTTTGTTGATTTTTTGATGGTAGCCATCTGACAGGTGTGAGGTGATACCTCATAAAATAAGAATTTTATAAGGAAGCACCGGTGATGTCAGAGCTGCTGGGGGCAGGAGCAGGAAATGGACAGCATAGCAGAGGCCTCTCTGAGGTGGAGTGCGCCCTCCAATCATGTGAACAAATTTAATTCTAGTTGGTTTGAAGATTTAAATGAGAAAATTAAAACCATAAAGGTCGTATGATGGAATACATTAGTTATTCTGTAACCTTAAAGTAGAAAAGGCCATTTCAGCCATAAGCAAAGTTAAAAGACAAATTATAAACCGGGGAAATTATTTGCAACATAATGAAAGGATCAGAAGAAGTGACACAATGAAACTATTACAAACAGTAGAGAAACTGACCAAGTGCAAGATAATGAAACTTATTAAAGAATAAATACAAATAACCAATAAATGCATGAAGACAGAGCTCCACTACAGCATAAAATCCCAAATGCAAACACTGGTGAGATCCTGAACTTGTACTCGTCAGATGAACGTGATGATAATCCACGCTGGGCAGGCTGACTGGGGCCACTTGCCAAATGTGTAAAAACAGTGCTGAGCCGAGGAATTTGTCCACAGTGAACAACCCAAAGAGTGAGAGAGGCAGGCATAGTGCTGTTTATGACAGCAAAAAGCATATAGCATATAGCCCACCAGACAAAGCAGGTCAGAAGCAACTGTGTGCAGCATGATCACACTTAAAAAAAACAACCCTCACCCAAGGATGGATGGATGGATGGATGCATATGTGTGTGTGTGTGTGTGTGTGTGTATACGTATATATATACATATATATACTAGAGGCACGGTGCACAAAAATTTGTGCACTAGGGGGAGGTCCCCTCAGCCTGGCCTGTGCCCTCTTGCAGTCTGGGACCCCTTGGGGGATGACCACCTGCTGGCTTAGGCCCACTCCCCGGGGGATTGGGCCTAAGCTGGCAGTCAAACATCCCTCTGGCAGCCCGGGAGCCCTCGGGGGATGTCCACTTGCCAGCGGGGAGCAGGCCTAAGCTGCAGTCAGACATCCTTAGCGCTGCTGAGGAGGCGGGAGAGGCTCCTACCACCACAGCTGTACTGGCAGCCATCAGCCTGGCTTGTGGCTGAGCAGAGCTCCCCCTGTGGGAGCGCACTGACCACCAGGGGGCAGCTCCTGCATTGAGTGTCTGCCCCCTGGTGGTCAGTGTGTGTCATAGTGACCAGTCATTCCCAGTTATTCTACTGTTAGGGTCAATTTGCATATTACCTTTTTATTATATAGAATAGAGGCCTGGTGCATGGGTGGGGGCCAGCTGGTTTGCCCTGAAGGGTGTCCTGGAGGAGGGTGGGGGTCCCGCTTGGGTGCCTGGCCAGCCTGGGTGAGGCGCTGAGGGCTGTTTTCAGACTGGCCACACCCCCTTCAGGGTGGGGGTCCCTGCTGGAGTGCCTGGCCAGCCTGGGTGAGGGGCTAAGGGCTGTTTTCAGGCTGGCCACACCCATTTCAGGGAGGGGGGTCCTGCTGGGGTGCTTGGCCAGCCTGGGTGAGGGGCTGATGGCTGTTTGCAGGCTGGCCAAGCCCCCCAGCGGGAACCCTCACCCCATGAGGGTGTGGCCATCCTGGGTGAGGGGCTGATGGCTGTTTGCATGCTGGCCATGGCCCCCAGCCACCCAAGCTCCCAGTGGAGGCTGGCTGGAAGCAGGTATCTGGGATTTATTTATCTTCTATAATTGAAACTTTGTTGCCTTGAGTGGAGGCCACAGCCGGCCAGGGCAGGCGGGAAGCTTGGCTTCCTCCATCCCCGGGGCAACCAAGCCTTCTGCTTGCTCCAGCTCCATGGCTGCTGGCCGCCATCTTGGTTGGGTTAATTTGCATATAGGCATTCTGATTGGCTGATGGGCGTGGCTTGGGGCATAGCAGAGGTGTGGTCAATTTGCATGTTTCTCTTTTATTAGATTAGATATAGGATTGCTTTTTGGAGAGAGGGGAAGAGAGAAACATCAATCGATTGCCCGTTGCACTCCTCCCCCCCCCCACACACACCATCCCCTGTACACACCTGACCTGACTGTAAACAGAACCCTCGAAACCTTTAGGTGTTCAGGACAACCACTGGCAAAGGAGCAACCCCCAGCCCTGTGGTCACTGGGGCCAAAGTGCCCCGAGGAGACCAAGGTGAACAGGCGTCCAGTGAGATAAAACAGGGCCCAGACCAAGGTCACGAGCAGAACAGAGAAGGATCCTCTACTGCAGCGGTTCTCAACCTGTGGGTTGCGACCCCTTTTGGGGTCAAACAACCCTTTCACAGGGGTTGCCTAAGACCATCGGAAAACACATATATAATTACATATTATTTTTGTGATTAATCACTATGCTTTAATTATGTTCAATTTGTAACAATGAAATTGGGGGTCACCACAACATGAGGAACTGTATTAAAGGTTGGCAGCATTAGGAAGGTTGAGAACCACTGCTCTACTGCAATGCATGAAGGGAAAGACATGAAACGGTGACTCCAAAATTCGGGAGGGAAATTTTAAAGCTACCGTGAAATGTGAAGGTGGAAAAAGACAGTCAGATATCCAAGGTCTCAGAAATTTTCATCCCACCGTCCCTTTTTCTGGAAAGTCCTGGTGGGTATTCTGTTCAAAACAACAGGAAAAAGAAAGAGGAAAATCTGGCATATGGGAAATAGCAGTCCCCACAGGACAGAGAGGGGACTCTGCAGGATGGAGGAGAAGGAAGCAGAGACTCCACAGGGCGATCCACAGGTCAGAGGACCCCAGGCAGGGCAGCCCCTTCAGCTTGGGGTGTCCCAAGTCAGCCATCCTCCGGGCTGCCACCACCCAGAGTCCCAGCGAGCTGGCTCACTCCTGTCTGTACCTGCCTTGCCCTGGCTGTGCTGAAGGTCTTCTGTCCCTGCCCCCTGCCCCTGCTGGCCCATGACTGGAGCTGGGGTTGGTTGTGGGGAGACTGAGAAGGGGAAATAGTAGCCACACCCCATCATGCCTGCTGACCACCCTGGGGCCCCCTGGCAGTGGCAATCCTCCACCCTGACCACCCTGGGGTGATCTGACAACTTGAGGATCCAGGGACATTTTCCAGTCATCTTCACCTTGCCCTATACACCTGGCTGTGCAGGCTCCCGTCTTCACAGTATTTGCATGGAAACAGTGGTTGATAAAATAATAAGGATTTTACTTAAAAGTAGGTAGTCATGTGCAGCATAATGACTTTCAGTCACCAACAGACCACATATTTGATGGTGGTCCCCTAAGATACAATGGAGCTGAAAATCTCCTCTCACTTAGTGACGTCATAGCCATGGTAACTTGTAGCACAAGGCTTATGTATGTGTGCTGATGCTGGCTGACCTGGTCCCCTCCCTTCGGGAGCACTGACCTGGTCCCCTCCCTCCCAGATGCTGGCTGGCCTGGTCTCCTCCCTCCAGATGCTGGCTGACCTGGTCACGTTCCTCCTGGAGCACTGACCTGGTCCCCTCCCTCCCAGATGCTGGCTGGCCTGGTCCCCTCCCTTCCAGATGCTGGCTGGCCTAGTCCCTTCCTTCCCCGATGCTGGCTGACCTGCTCACGTTCCTCCTGGAGTGCCCTCAGTTCCCGCAGACTCTCCAGCTCCTGGAGACACCTGTTGGAGGTGAGGACCAGCCTGTGCACCTCTTCATCCACTTGGTTGTACAGTTGGGAGGCAGCCTCAATGCTGTCTCTGGAAGAGAAGGCAGCTGTCTGGGGTCGCATCCTGATCACTGGTTTGTTCACAGGCCGTCCCCTTAGGAACGTGCTGTTGGTGACAACCTACTTAAAACACACAACTGCACTCTTCTTATGTCCTTCCCATCTGACAAATGGAAGGTCCAGATGGGGCCCAGGGCCTGAGCTGGAACTTAAATGTACCTATAAGCTGTGACACCTGCTGGCCACATCCATGCAGGCACCTCCAAGGTGGGGTGAAATGTGGGTGGGTGGATACAGCACCCCAGGATGGAGGAAGCACTTGGTCAGGACTCTGAATCCCACTATAATGAGTTTTGTCTTCCACTCAAGCATTCCAAGGACTCAGCTAGTTTTCCTTGGAGTCCCTGAATGAGACACGCTCTGGTCCAGTCAAGCCTGTCTGTCAGAGGAATGGTGGTCTGGGCCCCTTGGACGCTGCCTATGACAGAGAGGGCTTCCCCTGTGGGGCAGAATGCTGTACTTCACCCCAATGTGCCCCAGCGTTGACACTCACCGGCTGTCTTCACTGGCCCCTTGCTCTTTCCTCCTTAGCCGTGCCAGCACAGTACCACCTTCCAGGCGGAGGGTGACCAGCAGTGCATCTTCCAGGACTCGTTTCATTATGGCCTTGTGCTCACTGATTAACTCTGTGACCTCCTGCAGGGGTGGGAAGAAATGTGCATAAAAACCCCCTTCTCCAGGCAGTCCTCCCAGGTCTAATGTTGGGTAGGAATTAGATGTGACCAATTAAGCTGAGAGCACAGCAGGGTGGCCACACCCACTACTCAGTCCTAGCAGGAGGGTGGATAGCAGATTCCAGAATCCTCACCCAGGGGAGGGAAGTCTGAGACTGAGACTCATGGGCAGGGCCAGAGGGAAACTGAAACTCAGCATAGGAGAACCTGGTGTCTGGAGGTGTGCACACCCTGGGCATCCATGAGGTGTCTCCTGGTTATTATGGCCCCTCTGGCCAGCCCTTCTCTACATTGTGTTGGAATTGCTTGCTCCCAGCAGCACTCACTCATGCCTTGCTGGCATAGCATCAAATGTGGCAGTGCTGTTTCTCTTTTTGGCAGGGTGGGTTTTTTTGGTCATAAGCAGGGAGGAAGTGGTCCTTTGGATGTTGTTTGCTAACCAAAAGGGATCTACAAATCCAAAGGGTTTGAGAATCTCTGCTATGGATGGTGGTGAAACCAAATATTAACTTTCAAGTTTTGACTAAACTTCTATGTTTCTACCCATCAAATAAAATAAAATACCAAGGACCTACCTGAGCCGTGCTGAGGGTCCTCTGGGTGCTCAGGGAGCTGACTAAATTTTGTAAGAAAGCAATGGCGTCCTGGCAGTCTGTGACAAAGGTCTCCAGTTTCTATTGTGGTTTGAGAGGAAGAGACAAAAAAGACACAGTCTGTCAGAGACTGAAGCAAGCAACTGTGACGTTCTATATTTAAACTGACCTCAGGTAGTAAGCCTGTCATGGTGTCACCCAGAGACCTCTGGCTGTCTCAGAAGCTGGGAGCAGCACCCTCCCCGTCCAGGGCTGGATTTTAGCGGCATTCTTAAGCCCGTGCAGCATGGTCGTTAGAAACAGGCTACAAATGGCACCTGTGAGAGGTGCGAGGCCAGGGGTGGCGATGCCCTTTCAGATTTGAGTAAAAACATCCATTAGGTGGAGTCCCCTGGTGACTGTGGCGCACGCAGCTGCTGTGAGCTGCTCCTTACCCGGCGGAAGCAGATCCAGTCACTGTGGCTGTAGGGAAAGGAGCCCTCGAGGTCTGCGGTCAGCTGGGAGCTGTCGACAAACTTGTGCAGGGCCTTCAGGGAGCCCACCACCTCACACTGCCAGGAGAGGGAAACACCGCTGGATGGCTCCTTCCTGGGAGAACCGCTGTTGATGGGTTCCGCTACGCTGCCTGGCTGGTGGCATTAATGGACTGTGTGTGGTTGGATACAGGATTGAAGGGAAGAAGAAGTGAAAGGAGAGGGTAGCAAAGAGAAATGAAGGAGAAATCCCATTTAAGAAAAGACAAAAAAAAAGGGGGGGGGGACTGGGAAGGAAGGAAGGGCAAGATGATAAGGGGGGAAGGGAAAAGGCAGGAAAAGGAAAGGAAACGTGAGGAAACAAGTGAGGATGTGCTGTTTCTGGCAGGCATTGTTGACTCTTCACAGACAAAACCACACACTCTGGACAAGGTGCAATGGCAACTGTTTGAAAGCTCTGAAGGGGGAACAAAGCCGGGCTTATTGTGAGCAACGGAAAGTGGATGAAGGAACCAGCATGGAGGGAGCATCCCGTTTTTACAGCTTAGGCGGGAAAGCAGGCTGCTAATGGTGAGACTGGAGTGGCTGAAGCTCTGATAGAAAATTGGCATCTTTCTGGCCCAAAGAACCAGAGGATAGATGGGGTGGAACGTGAAGATCAATTCTCACAAGGGAGAAAGTGGGGGAAGGGAGCTCCGGAAGTCTGTAAACTGACCCTGAACCATGTGTACACGGGAGGACTTGAGCAACTGAAGGCAAAATCTGAACTGAACCTATGCAAGGGATGGTTTTCAGTTCAGAGTCTAACCAAGTCAAATTCACGCTACAATAGCACCGTGTGGAGGTTTATAACAGCATCTAGAGTCTTTATAAAAGAATGTTCACAATGTCTAGAATACCATCCAAAATTACCTGACACACGAAGAATCAGGAAAATGTGACTCATTCTCAAAGAAAAAGATAATCAACAGAGGCCAACACTGAGAAGACCCAGATTATTAGACAAGCACTTTAAAGCAACTGTTATAGCTATGCTCAAAGATGTAAAGGAAAAACACTTGCAATTAATGAGAGGATAGGAAACCTCAGCAGAGATTATATTTAAAAACCCACTGGAAATTTCATAGCTGAAAAACACAATATTTGAACTTAAAAATTCACTAGATGGGATTAATAGCTGACTGGAGATGAGAATATGTAGTCAGCGACCTTTAAGATAGGTCAGTGGGAACAATCTGATCTGAAGAAGAGAGAGAAAAAACATTTTAAAAAAGACATTCTCAGAGACCTACGAGATGGCATCAGTGTGTGTAACTGAAATCCTAGAAAGAGAGGATTTGCCCCAAGTAAGCAGAAAAAAACATTTCAAGAAATAATGACTGAAAATTTTCTAAATTTGGTGACAAACATAAAATTTCAGCCATACCTAGTGGAATAAATACGATGAAAACCATACTTAGTCATATTATAGTCAATTTGCTGAAGAAAAAAAGAGAAAGTCTTAAAAGTAGCCAGAGGAAAATGTCATTTCCAACAGATGAACCATTACCTGAAATACCACGAACTCTTCATCAGCAAATAGGAGGGCCAGAAAAAAACAGAATAACATCTTTAAAGTGCTAGAAAAACAAACAAACAAACAAACAGAAAAACTACTGTGAAGCCAAAAGTCCATATCTAGTGAAAATATCCTTCAAGAAAGAGAGCAAACAAGTTTTCAAATAAAAGAGAAAGAAGAAAGAAAAGGAAAGAAAACAACTGAGGTAGAGAAGAAGATCCGATTTTCAAAGTGTTCTGATGTCATGCTCTGCTCGGCTCCAGCAAGAACGGAAGGGCCAGAGACAGGTCTCCAGGCTCCTTTGTGGCTGAGACCAGAACTCACATAAATTCTTTCAAATGTTGTATCTCATCTGGGGGCCTTGCTATTTAATCTTATGCATCACTCAAAGTCAGATCTAATGCTGATGAGGGTCTAAAACCATTACCTGAATTGCTGCATCCTTGTCAGGCCTGAATGCGGAATCTTTATCCACCAACAGCAAAATACTATGAATTATGGGTGGAGATATGTTCTGAAATAAGTAAAAAAAAAAAATTAACTTTCTAATTTTTTAACTTCATTGAGTTGACAGAATTGTCCAATTTTGATTGGTGCTACTTCCACTTTGATATTTTGCCAAAATATCTAGAATGCCTTTGCTCTAAGTGTAAATTAGTTGCCCTTATGAATTATTTAATGTATTCAGGTTTATTGGTTGTAATTTACATATAATAAAGTTCACCCTTTTTAGTGTACAGTTCTGAGTTTTGACATAACTTACAGTCATGTAACCACCACCACTATGAAGATAAGGCACAGGTTAGCATTCCCCAAATTTCTTCACACTCCTTTGCAGTCAAGCTCCTTGGCCCCTGGATATCACTGCTCGGTTTTCTGTCTCAATAAATCTACCTTTCCAAGTTGTCAGATAACTGGGATCACACAAGTATTGGCTTCCTTCCCTTAGCATGGTGCACTTGAAATTCATCCATGTCGTGAATATCAGCAGTTCACCCCTTTTCATTGGTGAGTAGTATCCCACTGCACGAAGGTACAACCCGTGTTTGTTGTTCCATTTACCAGTTGCAGGACATTGCGTTGCTTTTAGCTTTTAGCAATCATAAGTAAAGGCACGATACACACTGTGTGAATGTACGTTTTTATTTCTCTTGGGTAAATAGGTAGCAGATTGCTAGGCCCTATGACTAGTTGTGTTGGACTTCTGAAGAAACAGCCCATTGTTTTCCAGAGGGGCTGGACCATTCTGCATTCCCACCAGCAATACCAAGCCCTTGTTCTTGTCAAGTTTTGCTGTTGTGGTATGTGTATTACTCACTTTGGTTTTAAGTTGCGGTTCTCCAATGACTACTGATGTTGAATATATTTTCATATGCTTATTTGCTATTCGTACATCCTCTTTGGTGAAGTGTATTCAAATCTTTTGCCCATATTTTATTGGGTTGTTTGTTTTTTTGAGTTTTGAGGCTCTATATATTCTGGGTACAAGAATATCAAATATGTGTCTTGCAAATGTTTTTTCACAGTCCATAGTTTGAATTTTCATTTTAGTAACAGTGTCTTTTGAGAAATTTTTAACTTTTGATGAAGTTCAATTTATCCTTTTTTCCTTTTATGGATTATGTTATTGGGGTGAGAGGTAAGAAATTTTTGTGTAAACCGAGGTCATGAAAATGACCATGACCTTGTGTGACCTTCTGGTGGTTTTGTAGTTTTAGATTTTATATGTAGGTCTATGACCCATTTGTAGTTAATTTTTATATATAGTATGAGGTATATGTTGAGGATTTTTTTTCCTTTTCTTTTGCATACAGATGTCCAATTGTTCTAATCCTATTGACTGAAAAATCTTATTTTTTGATGTGTTTATGACTTTAATCAAACATCCTTGGTTTCTGTTTGCTATTATATTGAGGCCAGATTATTTAGCAATAAAGCACTTTTTATTAGTGCTTCTTCATTCATATTCTCTGAAGCTTTACTTTTTCAAAGTTTCATGTAGTGTGATAAACAGGTTTTAGGTAATTTCTTATGTTGAAATGAACTTACTGGATGGGCCTCAGAACTAACTGATATTTGTATTAATTTCATCTGATATACTTCTACTTTTGTTTAGTGGCTTCTTATGGAGGACATTTTATAAATATTTATTGAATAAATAAACCATAGAAAGCCCAAAGAAAAAAAAATCATTCTTGCTTTCTCATTATAGAGCCATATTCTATTTCTCTCACTTAATTTAGCTAAACTTTTTGATTTATCATGCATTCAAAACAGTTTTGCAGAGTGTTTTATATTTCTCATATACTCCTATTTGTTCTATTGCAAACAAATTAATATTAATTCTCAAACAAATGAGAACAGAATCAATGCTTGATAACAATTACCCCAATTAGTGTTTAGTAGTTATGTGTTGTGTGTGAGGGATGAGCAAATTCTTAGGATTTTCTTCCACCAAGGGAAAAAAAATCATTACTTCCTTTTAAAATGGGGTATTTTTTATGGTATTGGAACTTTAATAATTTAATAATTTGAAGTATAGTTACTTGAGGGGCTACCTGTAGACAAGGGTGAGTGTGGGGGGCTGGTCCCCATGAGGAGGAGACAGGCCAGGACCCTCCAGAGGGGCTTGGTGGGGCCATGAGCAGCTGTCTGCTTTGGCCTTGGGGGTTCATCAAGGCTTCCACTGGGGCACTAGCATTGGAGTGTCTGAAACCCAGGTGGGTCATGGGTATACCCAGCCAGGACTTCCTGTGTGGCACATGGGTCTGGTAGCTCTCACAGCTCTTTCATGATTATAACGCTTTTTCCAACAAGCTGCATGAAGCAAATAAAAGGATTTCTAGGAATCTGCTCAAAGCTTCTGGTTACATTTTTCAAAATATTTGATCAATGGTGACATTTTAGTTTGGGTTTGGAGGCAAAACAAAATTGCTTTACTCCTAAGTTGCTATTTATATGGATGGTGACCTGATATTATTACCTGAGGCATTCAACCACTAACTTTAGGGAAATGCATTTCTGAGTTATTAACACATGTTGTCTTATTGTCCAGTTGGCTCACAACCAACCAGGAAGTTCATATTAACAATCTTTTAGCAAAATCGAAGGACTCAGAGGACATCTTAGGGTCATCAACATTTCCATTACATCTTTAAACAGAACTTCCTTCAAAATCTTTCTGGAAAGCAATCATCTATCTATTCTCTTAAAAAACTTTACTTGGCAATTTCTCAGTCATTACTGTTATATAAAATTGCGTGTAATTACGGAAGGCCAGGATCTCTAAGGAATTTTCCCAGTCTTGAGCAGAATATGAACACAAAACTGGATGACAACCTGGTTTCTGACTTTTGAGCCTAACGGCTAGTTGACAGCAGGGGATATGAGCAAACAGATGGTGTGCTTCTAAAATGTCTCATGGAAACTGAATTTTGTCACGTCAAACCTGTGGCTGTGTCAGACGAGATAACGCAGGCTTTACAGGAATGCAATGTGAGCCTTTTTTTTGCAGAAAGCTAAGACTGAGCACGTACATCGCTCTGAAATGCAGACTCACCCATCAGGTTTGCTCTGAGACCCTTTCACGAGTGCTGGGTGGCCAGCAGCCTTGTTTCCCCTCCCAGAATCTGCTCGCTGGCTTTTCTTCCTGGGTCAGGCCAGGAGCAGCACCACCGCCTAGATGCCCGGACCAGGGATGTCCCTGCTCTGCTAACCTGTCCATCCCGCTGCCTGGCCTCAGCTCCGGGCCTCGTGTCTCCAGCCTGGAGGTTTCCATCATCTCCCCAGTCTCTCCGGCCTGGCCTCACTGGCCCCAACACTTACACTCAGACATCTCCCAACCGCTCTTCCTGAGTCCTTCCTGGGAAGAACTTGCACGTGGCCACTAAATTTAAGAAACTGGGTGAGAACAGCGGCTGGTTCTGTCTCTGCACCTTTAGCAGAGACAGAACGCAGGACACTGGTTTTGGCTCAGGGAGTAGCTAGGGCAGCTGGAGAAGATTCCAGGAGCCTCGACACCCAGTCCCCAGCACAGTGCTTGGCACACAAGGGGCCCTGTGTACATACGTCTGAGGGAAGCTGATGCTCTTTGGTTCCTGTCTAGCCCTGGGTACCTGGAACATCCCAGCGGTGCCTTTATCCCCGTTTCAGGGACTCCCCAATCCTCTCTGGATTTTATTCATAAACCAGAATCCAGGGTGTGGTCTTCCTGGGGGGGACCGTGAACCTGCTGGACAACCTCCTTGAACTAGTCCCAGAGGCACCCAAGGTCCAGGGCCCTCATCCTCACAGCAAGTGGCAGCCACCCCTCCAGGCCTCCATCCTGTCTGGGCTGTACCCTGATGTAGCACTGTTGGATACAGACGTGCTATGAAAGGAAGGGGTCCTTACCATTCCTGCTGAGGCAGATGACACCACAAGGCCCGCACAGGCTGAGCCTGCTGGTTCTGCTGTTAAGGTCTGCAGCGAGGACCAGGGGGCGGGCTGGACACTCCTTCCAAGAGGGCTCTGTGCCCATGGCCCACCTAGCCCTGAGACACTCGGGCACTGAGGATGGGAGTGACCCCAACTCACCTGCAGAGCTGCCAGGGCCTGGGAGAGGGCAGGGATGGCCGGACTCTTGCGTGTGTCCACCAGGATGACCAGCCCCAGGTCCCGCACCTCCTTCCTGGAGAGAGGAAGACAGATGGTGTTAACCACTGCAGGTTAAGCCGGATGTGTTTCTCCATCTCTCAATGAGACGTCCTCACCCAGATCCTCCCGTCTTTAGAACTCAGAAGTCTTGACTTTACACACATCACCCTCTGCCTCCTGAGGAATCAAGCTGCTCATCGGTTGGAAGCAGGCAACAGGCCTCAGGTGCATCAGCATCTCCAGCAAGGGGAGCTGCTGAAGTCTCAGAACTGTCTTCCCACCACTGCTCCGCTTCTCCTCCCACTGCACATTGAGTCAGCATGCTCTTCTGGCCCAGGGGACCTGCTCCCTTTGCACTGTCTCTGGTCCTCACACTCCTGCCTCGCTCAGTGCCACCAGAAAGTGGCCGACTGCCCTGGGGCTGTGTGTGCTCTTCCTTCTACCTGGAAAGCCGTCCTCTTCTTGTCTGCAGTCACCTTCCTCCCGGACACAGCACGTGGGGCAGCCTCCTCCCTTGCTGGGGATGCAGCTCCTTCCCAGCACCGTGGACTTGTCTTATGCTGGGAGCTGCGGTAAACTGGGTTCCCGGGTGTGTCTCCTTGACGGCAGGAGCCATATTCTATTCTCTTTTGTATTTCCAGGTAAGTGTGGATGGATGGATGGATGGATTCCTTCACTGCATAGGTCGGATGAATGACAACCAACATTCTTCCTAATTTTAAGATTTTTGTGTATCTAAGAGTCTGATGGTGGTGCATTTATAAGGCACACCCACTGCACAAATGCTCCTTGTCACACACCTGCAGTAACAAGATACTGCTGGGTGCTTTTCCTAATAATGTGGACATCTCAGGTACCTCATTCAGAGAGCTGAAGGCGGTGTCACGTCCCATGATGGTGAGTGAGTGGATTTCGGCTTCTCAAGGTGTAGTATTCTACCGAGATGCTAACAAAATTACGCTTGTAGGGAAAGAACCAGCCAAACCAGGGGCCCCAGAACGAGTTTGTCCTGGTGCTTTAGGAATGATCCTAACAGAGGCTTTCTCCCAGAGCGTCGTGGGCTGGCGAGGATGCCTTCTCTGATGAGGAGACGCGGGCTGCCTGAATTTGCGGTGCTAAGGCAGAAAAAGCAGAGGGCTCAATTTCCAGGTACAAGTCCTGGCCCTGCTGACCCTATACGCACCCTCAGCCTCAACTCACAGATGCGTCGTTATAAATGGAGAACCCAGCACTGCTCACCAGCTTTGTGAGGCTAAGGATGCTGAAGGGCGGGCACTCCCAAAGCGCACAGCTCTCCACTGCGGCTCGCACTAAAGAAGCTTCTGTTAACAGAAAGCATCGTTATCTGAAGGCTTTGGCGGTGTTTACCTGAAGCTTACAAGGAATAAACTAAGGTGAGAGGTGAGCTGTTCTCTTTTTCAGTGTAGTTTCAATATATATTGGAATCTGTGCTGAAGGAAAATTTGAAATCCCAGTCTCCCCCAAAGGCAGCGAAACTAGTGCCCTGCAGATAATGGGGAACCTGCTCTGTGCAAGGAGGGTTAGGGAGAATATTTTAATTCTTTTTTCTACCTTAATGTTCCTGCACTGATCCTACCTATGCTGTTTCAGAAGCAATTAAAATAGAAAGCGACACACTGCCAAGAACATGAGATCACAGGTGATGATGCACCCCGGGATGTGCCCACATGAGCTCACATTATGTGATGGGATAGCGTGCCATGGAACAGGTTCTCACATCACATGGCCGTGTGCCACATAACATGTGCCCCACAAGCTCACATGTGCATCACATGACATGTTCTCATATGTGATCACATCGCATGATGTGTGCTATGTGGCTGCCGTGATGTGATGTGGTAGAAGACGATACTCTGGATTCAGCCCAGGTACTTCAGGGAGATTATTTCTAAGCCTCTAACGGGCCTCTGAGGCAGCTGTCACCATCCTGTTTCATGCTCAGCCAGGATTTGGAGACGGGCCGGTGCCCTTATGGCTGAGCCCATCCTCCTCTGGGGGTGCTTCCACCCGGCATCCCGGGGGACTCTTGGTCTGGCAGCTATGAGGACTATCCAAAGTGTGTCAGCATCTGATGAAATCAGGCGGGGGGCGGGTGGTGGTGGAGGGGGGGGCTAAATAATGCACTTGAACCATCCTGGGCTCTAGCTCTCCCATCTCTGTCCTTGGTCCATAGACAGACCCGAAATCACCGCCCCGGAGAAGGCCTCAAACATGCTGCTTTCCAGGCAGACCTGCTCTACACCGTGACCTTCCCAAGGACCCAGGGGGCCTGGTCCTCTGCGAGTTCTGTCAGGAGGGCGCGTCTCTCTTGAGGAGCTGGCACACTTCTTTCTGGCCTTTGGCATTGCCCGCTGAACGTAAGGCTCCATTAGCACGAATCGGTCTTTCCTCCTTCCTAGTACCAGGATCTACTCATTTGAATGATTTCTTCACCCGTTTATTCTAAATATTATCTTCATATCAGTTGATATCTTTATCCAAGGCCACTTCAAGTATGTTTTAGAAAGAGGTGGAGTATAAAACATGTAAGTAAGGAATGCTGACCAATGCAGAGCGACACAGAATTCAGGGCTTGAGTGTGTGGCAGAGCCTCAGTTCAGAGGGCAGAGGTCAGGGGGAGCTGAAGGGACTATGTGTGGGGGAGGGAAGTGGGGAGATGGGAGATGGGGTGGGGCAGAGAGCAGCCAGACAGCAGGACACTGAGGGGCAGTTGGGAGTGTGCTATCCAGGTCACAAGGGTCCCGGAGGCGACAGACCAAAACGCTTGCGTGAGGACGCACACTTGCATGGGTTTGTCCCCAAAGGGGTCTGAAAGGTGGAAACCTGGCTCAGTCCCACCTGGGGATGCCATGGAGGTACTTCAGCAGGAGGGTCAGCTCGGCACTGGACATATGTTGGCTGGACCAGAGTGGGCCTCTTGTGCAGACCTGCACTACTGCTCTCCCCTGGCGGTCTCGGGTCCCTGCAGGAATAGAGGGCATTGTGAAAGGGGGCAGCCCCAGTGGGGCACACATGGCTTCAGGCTTGAGAAATAGTGAGCTTGGGTCTGCAAACAGTTATTGACTTAGATGTGAGATCGGCCAGGAGAGGAGAGCCTGGCCCCCACCTGGGCAGGTGAAGACCATGTGCACCTGAGAGCGCGATGGCCACTTTATCATCTGGGTGTCCGTGTTCCCCCACATTCACATGCTCTAACCCTGAAGCCTGATTTGATGGTGCTAGGAAGTGGGCCTTTAGGATGTGCTTCCATGGGGAGGGTGGGGCCCTCGTGAGTGGGATTAGTGCTCTTATAAGAGATCCCACAAGGCTCCCCCGCCTCTCCCATCACATGAGGATAGAGTGAAAAGGGGCCGACCATGAACCAGAACCTGATGTTGGCACCTTGATCTTTAACTTTCAGCCTCTGGACTTTGTGAAATAAATTTCTGTTTTTAGAAGCTACCCAGTCTGTGGCATTTGTTATAGCAGCCCAAACAGAGTAAGACAGCCGTGCTCACCTGGGAGGGTGACGGCCCCAGACTGCAGCAGCTCTGAGTTGATCTCCAGCACCTGCCTGGGCAGGTCTCCTGTGCTGGGGGGCTGTCCCTCATCCTCGGAACACAGCAGCTCAGCAAGCAGGTCAGGAGACCTGCGGGGGTCGTGTCCTCGGGAGCTGCAGTCACCTGTGGGGACACCGCCTGGACAACAGAAAGAGACCTGGTCACAGATGAAGAATTGCTCTGGTTTGAAGGCAGATGCTCAGCTTGCTACAAACGTGAGGATAAAAACGTGAGTGGAAACAGTGGGTTTCCATGAGAACTTCCCCCATTGCTGGTGGAACTACAGGCGTGCCACACCATCTGGGACAGGTGTGCTCCTGAGAAGCGGGGCATAGATAAACACGAACAGTGAAATATTTCCGTTCCACCGCGAGTGCTCACTGCCTGAAGACCTCAGGGAGGAACATTTTATGCTGGATGGTGTCATACTCATTTATTTTGTAATACAGTGGGGCCTTGACTTACGAGTTTAATTTGTTCCGTGACAGAGCTCGTAACTCAAATTACTCATATGTGAAATCAAGAAGTGAACGAGTGAGACATGTGATGCTGGGCTGATATTGTGGCGTTCACTGTGACGTTCGCTGCGCCAGCTAGCGGTGGGGTATCTGAAGCTGGCTCGTAACCCGAATTTTAGCTCGCAACTCAAAGCAAAAAATTGGCTGAGAGACGGCTCATATCTCGAAAAACTTGTTAGTCGGGACACTCGTAAGTCAAGGCCCCACTGTACAGGCTTTGCTTTCCTGTCCCTAAGCCTTGTCCATAACTTCCTTCAGTGCTAACATCATGTAACTGCACAGCTTTCTCACTAGAGCTAGGCCTGAGAAGTCCACAGCATTCCTTTGTACATAGTGTTTTAAAAAAGCTTTATTGAGATATATTTTACATATCATAAAATCCATCCACTTCACGTGTGTACAATTCAGAGACACTTTACCAAGTCTGCAACCATCACCATAAATCAGTTTTAGAACATTTTTGTCCCTTGAAAAACGCCTATTTATGATAAACCTCTTCTCCCACCGCAGCTCCAGGACCTGCCTGTCTACCTTCTGTCTGTAAATCTACCTGTTCTGGACCCTTCATATCAATGGACCCAAACACGATGTGGTCTCTTACCTGGCTGCTCTCAGTCAGCAGAATTGTTTGTGAGGTTCACCCACGGCGTTGCCTGTGCCAGAGCCTCATTCTTTCCTGTGTGGGTCTTACTCCACTGCCTGATGGACCAGTTTTGTCTATCCCTCCACTAGCTGATCGACTCCAATCGCACAGTGTCCTTGAGAGTGAATTTTTCATGTATGCTCACATGTTTTAGGACACATCACTGGCCAAGGGCAAGACCAATTCTGCAGCGAACCCAAGCTTTCTCACATGGACAAGGGGAGCAGACATCACCTTCATGTGAGCCTTTTCTCATTAGACATCATCCTAGTTGAGATGGTCATTTGTGTAAGCTTGTCCTGCATTCGGCTTGCCCCACGAGACAGTGGGAGGAGAGGTCTGAGGTAGGGGCTATAATATTAAAAGGGAAGGGAAGGGAAGGGAAGGGAAGGGAGGGGAGGGGAGGGGAGGGGAGGGGAGGGGAGGGGAGGGGAGGGCCCACATGTGGCTAATGAGAAACAGTTGTTCAGTTACCACTGGTTGAATAAACAATGAATGATCTGAGTATAATATTCTTAAATAAATTCTGAAATGCTAAATTATATTAATTTTATGTTTAAAGAGGAGACAAAGTAAAGTCTCAGGAGCTGAAGCAAACCAGAGCAGAGGAGGAGCAAGCCAGAGGAGGGGAGAAGCAGGCTGGAACAGGGGAGAAACAGGCTGGAACAGAGGAGGAACAAGTCAGAGGAGAGGAGGAGCAAGCCACAGCAGGGGAGGAGCAGGCTGGACAGGGGAGGAGCAAGCCAGAGGAGGGGAGAAGCAAGCTGGAACAGGGGAGAAACAGGCTGGAACAGAGGAGGAACAAGTCAGAGGAGAGGAGGAGCAAGCCACAGCAGGGGAGGAGCAGGCTGGACAGGGGAGGAGCAAGTCAGAGGAGGGGAGAAGCAAGCTGGAGCAGGGGAGGAGCAGGCTGGACAGGGGAGGGGCAGGCGGTGCCTGTGGCTACAGAAGAGTGAATGTGCTAAATGTCACTTGTTTAACTGAGGCGTCAGCAAGGGGTTCCAGCTGAGGCATTTTCCCATGTTAATGAGCACACGGTGTCTGGGACCGCACCGCAGACTTGACTTCTGGGACAGCAGGGTGTGAAGGGGAAGCAGGTACCACTGGTCCACTGGTCACTGGTTGGGTAATGAATGGTCCTGGCCCTCTGACCAGACCTTTGGTACCACTGTCCACCTCCTCATGGGTAGAAGCAGCCTCCACTTATTCAGTGTCTTCCTTCCTTCCTGGATGTTGGACACCACACAGGTGGGTTCTGCTTCATCAGTGAGGAGGGAGAGGAAGTGGAGTTAGTAGGGAAGGGGCACTGTCTCCAGGCAGTAAACTCCGAGGTCAGGTCCCCCAGGCCGCCCTCGTGTTACCTCACAGGGAGTCTCTGGATAGTGAGTAGATGACACCCACTAGGCCTGAGAGAAATGATTATACTTGAGAATACCACATTTCTGATCATGAGACTTGAATCTTCTTAGATGTGCTACTCTACACCCAGGGAGTCTACTGGCCCCGTTTCTGCTCGGCAGTGCTGGGTTGTTTAAGCTAAACCTGCCGCCTTTGTCACTGTGTGATATCATCTGTTTGTCGTCGAATGTCTGTGACCCTCGCGACAACACTGTCAGTGACGCTGTGCCTGGAGGTCCACAGAAGCATCTGCACAGCCAGCATTTGTCCGAGGGGAGAAACTTACGTGATTACGTTTTACGTGGACACTTGGGGTGAAAACATAAGCTCTGTCTCCTATTGCGGCTCTGCTGCAGACAGGAGTTTTCATAGTGTCACCCAGTGTGTGTGGGGAAATGTGTGTGTTTTCTGTCCAATATGAATGGGAAAGGAAATGGACAATAAAGGACAGGCTAGGACCTAGAAACAAAGGTCAGGGAGTTACTGCTTCATTTTAATTTAATTTTAATTGAATTGCAGAGAGGCAATAGAATGTTTTCTGTGTCAGCCCTAAGTAAATAATCGTACTCTAAAACTCTGTAGTAAGCCAGTGTGTGTGCCATGCTATCCGAATCCTGTCAGAATTCCCGGCAGGAGCACACAGCCTAATTTCTGGAGCGGCCCTGTACGGGTGTGGCAGACAGTCCCACCCAGCACTGTGAGGACCCCAAAAGCCCTCGAGGCAAACAAGATCGGAGCCCCCACACTGGGCCAGCTGGGAGGCCAGGTGGGGAGACCAGCGAGGGGCCCTTACACGCATTACTGTATTTATTGGATGGGGCTGCTAGCACTAAACCTGCTGAGGCCTACGGCATGTTTATATTTTTTGCTTCTTTCCAACGTCATTGTTTTTGTTCTCCATAGAACATTATACAAAGAAAGAGAGAAAGAAAGAAAGGGAGGAAGAAAGAAAGAACGAAAGAAAATATTTGACTTATAAATAGGTTGCCATTCTTTCCTTACCTTTCTTTATGCGCCTCACTCGCTCCTCTATATAATTATTTTCCCTCCAGAGCCCAAGGAAAAGTTCTCTAAGAATGGATGCTCAGAAACTTACTGAGGGCCTTCAAGTGAGTGTAATGAAGGAGCATAAAGTCATCAACCCGGTGCCATTAAAAAATGAACATTACGCCTGATTTACCTACACGGACAAGTATTAATACAACGTTGGGGTGTATGGTGACCACAAAAGGATGTTTCCACTCCCAGAACCTGTGAATGTGACCGTATTTGGAAGAGGGTCTTTGCAGATGTGAATCCATAAAGTTTAGGGTGGGTCCTAAATCCAACGACAAGTGTCCTCATACGAGAAAGGAGAGAGTCGTTTGAGGCATGGACAGACGGACAGGGAGAAGAGCCAGGTGTGCGCCCACAAGCCCAGGAAAGCCTGGACCCCCAGCAGCAGAAAAAGCAGAAAGGACCCTCACTTAGAGCCTGTGGCTCTGTGAAGCCAGACTTCTGGCCTCCAGGCTGTGAAGGGATGAATTTCTGTATCCTAAGACAGCATATTTATGGTACTTGGTGTAGCAGCCACAGGAAAGGAACACCTGTGAGCATTATTTTCAACAGTCAATAGGATGTGGAGACAGGCTTCTTTCTACTCAGCCAAGTGACCAAACTAAATGAGACAGGGAGCCGAGGGGAGGGGAGGAAATGAGGAAGAAAGGGGATAGTGGGGGAGGGGAGAAGAGCGTTTACCTTCCTCCTTGGTGCAGCCAGAGGGGTGGCTGCAGCCCAAGTCTCTGGTTCCCACAGCTTGTCCTCCTAGGTGACCTCTAGGTCCGGTGCTGGCCGAATGTGGGGCATCACCTCGGTAGCTCTTGAGGGATCGGTCCCAGGACTGAGACCTCCTGGGAAGGGTCCTCCCAGCGGCTCTGGGACAGCTCTGTCGTCTCCGGATCCCCTGGCGTTCTCCCTGGGGGCTGGGGGTTTCTTTCTGGGGCTGGCTGGACCCTGGCGTGGCCCTCTTGCTCTGGGTGCTGCAGGCATCATCCACGAGGGACTCCTCCTCGGAGCTGGAGCCCAGGGGCATGGGGTTCTGCAGGGCCTCCATGTAGGAATTCCTGAACCAGCGTCTGGCCTCCACAGCGGCAGGAGCCCCAGGCGTCTGCCTGCTGGAGCTCAGGCTGCCTGCGTCCTCGGGGGAGGTGAGAGCCTGGGGGCCATCCTTCTTGTCCATGGGGTCCAGTCTCTCTCCTGGTCCTTCAGGGCTGGCACGGGGCTCCCACGGGCTGACATCAGAGCTCCCGGGCAGGGTCCCGGGGCTTTTGCACTCAGCTCTTCTCAGGGAAGGAAGGTGGCTGGGCTGGTCACTGTCCTTGTGCCCCCCGCAGTGAGGCAGGGTCGGAGTGTTGCTGGCCATGGCTGGTGCTGGGGCCGGGGCCTCAGAGGCACTGCTGGGTGGCCGCTCAGGCCCGGGATGGCTGGAGCAGTGGGGCAGGACTCTTCCGCTGATGGGTACAAACACAGGGACTGTGACGTTGCTCCATGGGGTGCGGTAGACAGCAGAGCCTGAGGTCAGCAAGCAGTTTTTCAAGAGGACACTGTTGCGTTCCCTGTTCACCCGGTCCAGGAACTCTCCTGTGAAGACACAGCCATACATGGCCTCAGGCACAGCAACTTCCTCTGAGCCTCGTCCCAGCCGAGAGAGGCATTTTAAGACCAGCCTGGCTGACTGCTTCCCCACCGATGTGACCTGCAGGTAGAAGTCCCCGGGCCTGAGCCTGACTCCGCGCAGGGACGCCAGCTGCACCACCACCTTCCCGTGGATGCACAGTGGCCAGCCTTCGTGGAAGAAGATGAGGCCTGTGTACCTGGCCTGGACAAGAAGGGGAGGGAGATTAGCGGCTGGCATGGAGCCTGTCAGGACCCCTGGTCTCCATGCAGCAAGGAGAGTGACCAGTGCCCCCCTTCTACCCCAGAACCCCAAATAAATCATCAGGGCTGAAAACAGGGGGGTTCTTTCCGATTCAGTGAAGTCAGTCAAAACCTCACTTTTACAGCGCCTTCTGGGAGGCTGGGGGAGGTGGGCAACAGGACAGGAGGAAGGAAGCCACCCAAGCACAGTCTCATGCAGCCGAGCTCAGGGGACCCTGCAGGAAGTGACTCCTAGGGTGGTCCCACTTGGACTTCCATACCCTCGCTCCCCAACCCCCACCCTCTGTCTAAACTCCAGAGGCTTCTGGGCGCCCATGAGCACCCCGCCCCCTCCTGCAAAGAGCATGGCCTCTAGAATCACAGGGAGGGAGGCACAGTGAGAAAATGTGGGACCTGCACACGACACCATATCGGCCTCCAACTCCCACATAATGGAATGGGCGGTTCTTACTTATTAAGGAGTCAATGAAGCCTACAGCAAGCTGTCGGTTACCAGGAGAGTTCTTAAGCACTCTTGAAAAGAACTTGATCTAGAAAAGGTTTCAGCTTCCGGACAGACGAGACACAAACATGGGCTACGTCTGCATGGGGCATGGGAGTGTCCAGCAGCTAGGGAACAAGGGGTGGGACCCTGACTTGTCAGTAGCTTCAGGTACATGTTCTAACATGAAACCACATTCCACAGTCAGAGTTTAGTTCCAAAATATTGTGCTTTGCAACTTACTTTTCCCCATCCCAGCACTGCCTTACCGCATACACGTTATTACAATAGAGAAAAGAAAAAGAAAAATCTCAACCCAATAGATCTCAAGAGATTTTAAACTTTTCTTTGCCCTTATTCACATAGGAAATAACTTTTCTAAACTGTAACAATAGCGTAGATGTAATCTGACGTTCTCATCTGCAGTCACCTTAGCAAACATTTCTCTATGTCACTCTCAGTTACCATCTTGATGGCTACTTAACTGTTCCTCTGTTTTCATAAATCTACGATGCTTCTTTTTCTATTTAAACAATAAATGCAAAGAACAATTACATGATACAGTGTCTTTTTCCTGTAAATGATTGTTTTAGGATACGTTTCTTGGATTAGTATTCCAGGATCAAAGGTTATGAACATCTTGTATGATTCTTTCCACTTTGACCAATTTGCCCTCAAAGGAGACACACTGTCAGCAGTGGCGCTGTAACAGGTTTGCCATCATTCAGCAGCATGAGGCTCTGCCATGAGATCATTATCTAGCCTGGCAGGTGTGGCTCAGTGGTTGAGTGTTGATCTATGAACCAGGAAGTCACGTTTCGATTCCCAGTCAGGGCACATGCCCAGGTTGCAGGCTCGAACTCCGGAGACAGGTGTGCAGGAGGCAACCAATCAATGATTATCTCTCATCATTGATGTTTCTATCTGTCTCTCTCTCCCTTCTTCTTTGAAATCAGTAAAAAAAAATATTTTTTTTAAAAAAAAATCATTCTCTAAATTGGTGTGTATACTGTGGAATGCTGTTGCTTTAATTCACATATATGTGACAGTGAAGTCAACCCTTTTTTGATGTTTGTTTCCTGTAAATATTCTATATGTATTTTTGCTCCAATTGTTGTCTTGTTTTTGCCTTATGAGGTACCGTGGGTTTTTAAAAATTTTTAACAATTTTCTGCCCTTCCCATTAGCAAATGTTTCTGTAATCTATCTACTGCTACACATATTCCTCCCAGTTCATTTGCTTCATGGTTTAGTTAAGTTCTTTTCCTCTCTATAGAAGTTTAAATTCTATGCAAGTTTCATTTCTTGAGTTTTTTGGTGATATCTTCTATTGCCTTAAAACTTAGAACTGCGTATCTTACCAAAATTTGCCTTTCACATTTTATTTAGTTTTTCTAAGGGTTCAGGTTTAAAAAATATTTAATATTTCATATATCTGGAGTTTACTTTGAAAATTATATCTCAAACACACCAGTGTGTTCTTAAGCGTGAAGGTCTCATTAGATATGTCCCTGCTGACTTATGAGCTCGCTGTGCCATGCATGTTACACAGAAAGGAGGAGCGGACGGTCTGGACGAGGAGCGGAGGTGGACGGCCTGTGAGGAGGGCAGCACAGGGCGCTTCTGATGCAGGTGCCGCTGGCATTAACCGGGCACCCGCCAACCGCCCTCACACCTGTGGCCACATTTGATTAAAAATTAAGATTTTCACATTGAAAAAAGAATACTGTGCATTGCACACTGGAGAATCCAGAAGAAAAGAAAGAATAAAATAATCCCAAGACCAACCCCCAGGTCAGCATTGTGGACATTAACGTGCTTCACTTCATTACTTTTTCTGGGCATTTTTAATGGTTGAGATGACATCACAAGTATAGCTGCGCATCTTGATTTCACATGTAACATGATTTCATCAGCATTTCCTGAGCCACTAGAAATTCCTCACACAGATCACTGCACTGCTGGATCCCAGCTCCCCCGAACTTTGCTCTGACAGGTAAAAATACCACAAACATCTCTGGGCTTGGAGCCCAGCCCAGATTTCAGATGCTCCTGTGGAATCTGAGGCCTCAGAGCAGATCAGAGAGTATGGTTACCTCCAGGCCCCTGGGGCGAGCCAGTGACCACTGGTGTGGGTAGCTGCAGATGTGGGCCCGCGCCTTGCTGAGTGACCAGTGATCTCCCACCACTGGACATGAAGACACAGGACACTGCCCGGCCCCTCAGTCAGCAATGGTGAGATTTCCAGCCTGGCAGTGAAGGGAACCCAGCGGCCATCAGAGAGAGAAATTCAACCTGAGGTGTGGCCTAAAGGTGTGCAGCTGGGGTCAGTGTTTTGAGCCCCAGGAATGTTCTTCATGACAGAAAGTTCCAGAATCAGAGGGTCCAAGGCCAACCGAGGTGACTCCTTTCTGGAGGGGCTGAGCAGGGCCGGGGTGGACTGCCCCTTGGTGGCCCATGACCATGCAACCCTCACACCCCAGTCCTGCTGATTCCCCTCCTGGTATGAATTCAACTCCACTGTCCACATCCTGGGTTTGCTCCCACCACCCAAAGGGCCATAGACAGGAAGCTCCAAGGTGGAGGCGGAGAAAACTGGCCCCACAGGAGCAGGAGCTGGGCTGCCCTGCCAAGGGGAGGAGCCTGACATTTGGTGCTCCAGCCACAGGTCCCCTGTCAGTCTCCAGTCCAGTGAGAACCTCCCACACCACACGGGGCTCCCACACTCCTTTCCGACGGGGCGCAAAGATCCGTCCTGTGTGAGCTACGTCTCCTAGGTCTTGTGGGAGAGGCAGGCATTTCCCCATCTTTGTGAGAAAGTTATCTGCTTTCAGCAATAAGCAATTGTTTAAAAGTTTTTAAATTAAGTATGAAGAGAGACACAAAAGAACGCTTTCATTATAGAAGATATAAAATATCACGATACAGCGGTCTAAGGAAAAGAATGTTGCCATCATCATTGAGGTCTCCTGCATATGCCTGTGACCTGTCAGAGGCAGGCACTTTCCCAAACTTCTTTATTAGTCCCCTCCTTTTCTTTGTATTTGCCACATGTTGACTCCGACAATAAATACTTGTTATGCATGTATCTGAACTTTACAGAAATGGAGTCACACAGTCTGTCTTTCTCCGACTTACTTGTTAATTGTCGATACTGTTAGACACAGCTGCAGTTCATTCATTTTCTTTGCTATGTAGCAATTTGACCTATTACTATCCCTAGTATAACCAACTATCCCCAAATTTAGTGGCTTAAAAACGCTATTTGGCTCACAATTCGTGAGTCAGGAATCAGGGAAGGGTTTGGCTGAGGGGTTTGTTTTGGACTCAGGGTGTGAGATGTATGATGCGCAAGGCCCTCACCGATGATTTTAGCGTCGACTGTGTGTTCTAAATTCCCTCAGCTCTGAGTGATCAGGACGGGTAGTTGGCTTGTTAAAGCAGATTATCACTCATAAGAATGGTCATACATCTCTAAACGTTTAATTTTTGCTTTACATATATAAATGCACATTCACACACCCATCCTGGTGGGAGCTAGGGAGGGGACCCCCTTTGAGGTTTCTTTCTCCTGGTGCCCTCCCTCAGCCTCAGAGGCTCTTCACAGTTCTTGTTGCCCCTTTAGAGTTAATCCCGTGTCATTAGATAATAACATTAATAACATTAAGCAGCCCTGATTAAATGTCTGTGTGGTTTCTGTCTCTTGATGGGACTAATGTGCTCAGGAGGCCCAACTCTTCTCTGCTGACTTGGAGGGCTCCACTGTCTTCCTTGGGCTGAGCACACCCACACTGCTTTGGTACCTTCAGGGAAGACATAGGAATGTAGAATTCTTCTGGATTCCTCCTCCCCCAAATATCCCTGTCTTCTCAGCTGTCTTGCTTATACCTAATGTGACAGCACTTTAAAAAAATATATATTTTTATTGATTTCAGAGAGAAAGGGAGAGGGGAGATAGAAACATCAATGATGAGAGAGAATCATTGATTGGCTGCCTCCTGCACACCCCCCACTGGGAATCCAGCCCGCAACCCGGGCATGTGCCCTTGACCAGAATCGAACCTGGGACCCTTTAGACCACAGGCCAATGCTCTATCCACTGAGCCAAACCAGCTAGGGCTGTGACAGCACTTTTTAAAGTGACATTTCATAAATCTTTGCAGAACATTCAACTCCATTTTCTCAGAAAAAGCTTTCTTTATGATTGCACTCATATGTAATCAGTTTTAGGTTTCAGTTACATTGGATTTATTTACCTCTTCTTCTCCTAGCTTAACGCAGAAATTTCAATAATTAATATTAGAATCCCCCTAAAACTTATACATCATACTTTAAACATTGCTTAAATGTATATAAAAATTTTCTACATGTTGTGTTTCATTATGACTCAGTTACAATAATTCTCCTTGTGATTTCTTTAAACCATGTGTTATTTAGAAATATGTTATTTAATTTCCAAA